GTCTGCTGAAGCCTTATCTTATCTTATCTTCGCTTATCGCACTTGTGATGTTGCACGTCTCACTCCATTCAGATTGAATCAAATCAGCCATCTCACGTAAATTGAATCAGTACAAGTCATGTATCGTAGAATCGTTGCATCCAAATTTACAGGGATCAGTAGCCCTCAAGATACACCCGTCTAAAGAGCCAATATCGCTGTGCATACCAATACCAAACAGTGTCCCATGGACGACTGGACATTTTGCAACCTAACTCCGTCTTTCCTCCCAATAATGAAATACATCCCGCCACAGAAACCTTGTGCCCAAACGTTCCCTCGGTGGAACGGTCGACGGCCAGCCGTCGGGTGCGAGACGCCCTGCCACGCTTACTCGACAGTGACCGACTTGGCCAGGTTACGGGGGAAGTCAACATTGAGACCCTCGAGAACAGCCAGCCAGTAGGCAATCAGCTGGAGAGGGATGACGTTGAGGAGACCCTGCAGACAGTCGACGGTGCGGGGGATCTCAATCTTCTCGGCCTCGGAGGACTTGAACTCCTCGTCGTTCGGGTTGCAGATGACAATGGGCTTGCCAGAGCGGGCAATGACTAGTCTTGTTAGCTGATGGCACGATGCGTTTTGAGAGTGCCGTGTGACTTACCCTGCTGGTAGGCGTTGAGCGACTTCTTGAAGAGGTCGTCGCGGGTCAGGATCATGATGATGGGGAGGTTCTCGTCGACAAGAGCCAGGACACCGTGCTTCAGCTCACCGGACATGACGGCCTCGCAGTGAAGGTAGGAGATTTCCTTGATCTTGAGCGCACCCTCAAGGGCGGTCGAGAACTGGCTGCCACGTCCCAGCAAGAGGAGCGACTTTTGGTTCTGGAAGGTGGCCTTGCACAGATCCTTGATGGCGCTGTCCTGCTCGAGGATCTGCTTGATCTGGCCCGAGATGTTGGCCAGGCCATCCATGATCTCCTCGCGGCGAGCCTTCTTGGAGGCACGGTCCTCGCTCAGGGACAGGGCGAACATGACCATGGCGATGAACTGCGACGTGTAGGCCTTGGTGGAGGCAACACCGATCTCGGGGCCGGCGTTGATGTGGACACCGCAGTGGGTGAGGAGAGAGATGGAGGAACCGACGACGTTGACGACACCGACGGTCAGTGCGCCACGCTCCAGGCAGTAGCGCAGGGCCATGAGCGAGTCGGCCGTCTCGCCAGACTGCGACACAAAGACGCAGGTGTCGTCGCGGAAGACGGGTGCCTGGCGATCGAGGAAGTCCGAGGCCAGCTCGACCGCGATGGGGATCTCGGCGAGCTCCTCAAAGATACCACGCACAGCCATGCAGGAGTGGTACGAGGTACCGCAGGCAATGAATATTATGCGGCGGCACCTGCGGATGGTGGGCAGGTAGGAGCGCAGACCACCCAGGGTGACGGTCTTGTTGGCGGCATCGAGACGGCCACGCATGGTGTTGACGACGGACTCGGGCTGCTCAAAGATCTCCTTCTGCATAAAGTGGTCGAACTTGCCCTTCATGATCTCCTGGAGCTCGAGCTCAAGAGTCTGGATGGTGCGGACGTTAGAGCTACCATCGGCCTTCTTGAGACGGTGGATGTTGAGGGAACCCTCGTGGATGTGGGCAATGTCGTCGTCCTCGAGGTACATGACCTTCTTGGTGTGCTCGACAATGGCGGACGGGTCGGAGGAGAGGAAGAACTCGGTGGGCATGGGCATGCCGTCGTCCGTCATGAATGCGCGCGACTGCGAGCGGTGGAGGAGCGACTTGTCGGGGGCGCCGAGCAGGTTGGGGTTGGGGCTCAAGAGGTCCGAGGTCTTCTTGATGGCCACATTGTGGGAGGCAGCCTCGGCAGGGAGGGCCGACTTGTCGTCCGAGTACTCGACGTCGACAAAGTCAACCTTCATGCGGCGCTCGGTCTTGACACCGATCACGAGAGGCGAACCCTTGCGGGCGGCGACAACCTCGTGGGGGTAGTGGACAGACTTGACCAGGAGACCGTAGGCACCCTCGAGCTCCTGGATGACCATCTTGGCAAGGTCGGTGAAGCCGATCTTGGGCTGCTGGTCGTAGATGTACTTTGTGAGCTTGGCAATGCACTCGGTGTCGGTCTCGGTCTCGAAGCGGAAGCCCTTGCTCTCGAGGAGGGTCTTGAGCTCCTTGTAGTTGGTGATGATACCATTGTGCACGACGGTGAACTCCCAGGTGGGGTCGGAACGGTGAGGGTGGCAGTTGGTGGTCGAGGGGGGACCGTGGGTGGCCCAACGGGTGTGAGCGATACCAGCATGCGAATCAAACACCTGCTCGAGATCGATGTCGGCCTCGTCAATGAGCTTCTTCAACTTGGCCACCTTGCCGACCTCCTTGAAGGCCAGCACCTCCTTCTTCTTGTCGCCATCGACAGCTAGACCGGCCGAGTCGTAACCACGGTACTCGAGGCGGGAGAGACCATTGACAAGAGTGTCGAGAATGAATTTGCGGTCCTTCTCGACCAGGTAGTTGATGTAACCAAAAATGCCACTGTCAAGACGCCTGTGTTAGCCAACCTGTCCGAGCTGAGGAATTGGCCCATCACTTCCGCCTCCTTCTGCCCACCGCCTCCCCGCCGCGCTGTGCTCTCTGCTCCCAAAGTGCCAGGTAGGTGAGGGCGGGGCAGAAAGGCGGTGGTGCTTCTGGATCGCAGGGCTGCAATGGGCGGTCAAGGTGTCTGTGTGTACTTACCACATTGTGTCTGTGTTTAGAAGATGGCGGAAGTTCGCAGTAGAATAGAAACGAGAAACCAAAGATCAGTCAGTCGTCTGGCGTGAGGACGACGGAAGCGAGTCTGGCGAGAGGGTATCACAGAGAGGTAGAAGCGAGAGTACGGTGTAGGAGGAGTGAGGTGGGAGAGATAATATGGAGGGGAGGACTGGAGATGGACGGCAGAATCAGCTTGGAGGGGGGGAGGAGAGCTCGTTCATGTACTCGTTCGACCGAGCCCGCTCCAACATCGAACGCCGTGCTGAGATCAGCATCATGTGGATCAGATCATGCAAGTGTCCTGGCAACAGTCTATTTGCCCGTGGCAGCGACAGCGGGTTGTTCACGTTCGGGCCTGGCAAGCTTTCCATTGACCCGCGTGTCTGCGGTGCGCGACTCGAAGCCCACCCACCTACGGAGGACCTGCCTTGGCTCAAGGCTCAAGCTAGGCCTAGGTGCTTGGTGGGGTCCAGTCCAGTCCAGTAACAGTTGCACAGGGGGCTGGGCCCCCCTGAAAGAAAGCCAGTGGAGGGGCGCAGCCGTCAGATCTGGCCTCCAGTCCAGTCCTCCGTCCGTAAACATCAGCCTCATATCTTTTTTTGGATTGCGGCTGGAGCAATCGTTTTGTGAATTCCTTCAATGCTTACTCGAGTGGTCGTGTAGGTTTTCTCGAAGCCTAGTGCAATTGGGTTTGCACGATTGCCCTAGTCTATCCGAATGCTTTGGACGTTGTCGTGGGCAGACAGACCTCAAACAAGTGGCTTCAAGCTTGAAACCATCGATATCATGGTCGGTTCCCGGCAGGGGGGCGTTGTCAACCAACCTTTGTCCGTCAACAGCGGAACCTAAAAACCTGACCAGTGCCAGTTGCCCAGCACCGCTTGGGAAAGCCAAGGCAACGAGCAGAGCTAGACGCAGTGTCCCGCAAACAATGACGCTATCGGACCTATGCCGAGGACAAGACCGCCCGAATCACGGGCATGAATTTTTTCAATTCTCCCATGATCTTTAGTCCAGTGCGCCCTGTGCGGTGTAGGTAAGGTAAGGTACCCATCGATCACAGCCCCACGACGAGGAATCTCGACGATGATCCACCCCTCAACACGAGACTTTCCTCGGCGTACGCAACACCGCTCTCACAGACCAGGTTCCGGATCTTGTGCCACGGACACGCAACTCGAATGTTTCGTTAAGGTAGCGTCTTGTTCAACTTTCTTGTGCCAGCGTAAATATGCTTTGTTCTGTCGTGTACCAACGTGGAAAACGAGTAATCACTTGCTTGAGCCACAGGCTCGAGCTATACTGTTGCACACAAACCACTGATCAGCACTGCATTTCCTCGCCCAATCATCGCGATGCTATGTCTTCGTATTCCCCCTTTCCCCTGATCATCATGTTATTGGGGACATGGATGCCAAAAGGTAATGCACAGGATACGTGGTAAGGTGTTATCAACAAATTCTTGTCTTGGCTCTTGCCGAGCGCTAGTGACAGCATGGGGGGGCCGCCAAGTTGATCTCCAAAAAGGCACAGCCTCACCCAGATTCCCTAAGAATAGCAACATCATCATCGGCCTGCGTCGAGAACTGCCCTTGTTCCAACGAAGACGCAAAACGTGATGAGGTTTATCTACAGTAAAGTGAAATATATCAAGGCCAGCCTCATTTGCCGGTCAGGTTACTGATCACAGTGCTCAAGGCTCACATCAGCATTGGTGGTCTCTCTGCACGTGTCGTCCCCATGTCGACCCTTTGCAGGGGTTCTATATGCAAGGAGGGCCCAGTTCATCACCTAAGCAGAGTCCAGACAGCCATCGTAGGCTCATTGAGATACTGACAACATGTGGTCTCCTGAGTCTAATAAACGTCCTTTGTAATTGCAGCCTCGTCCCAAGAGCCGACAGCACACAGTTCATTGACAAGATCACAATTGGTCTGATTCTTCCTTATTTCATCAGCTCGCCCGCTCTCAAGTCGCATACGTGGCTGGTAAGCAGTCAGATCCTCTCGCGAACCCAGAGGCTGAGAGCCAACTAAGCTACCCAACCCGGCCTTACAAGGCTGACTGTAAATCCATTTCCATCACTGAGTACATATCAGATTCTCTCAAGGAGCATGCACACCCTGGCAGTGTGGTAATTAAGGCACCAAGCCGTCCGTTCGCTGTGTTATACATCCACACAAGATGACCTATGGACGCCTGCCCTGTCTATCCGCCAGCCTACCCGCCGCTCCCTGTGCCCTGGTGATATGCTATGCTTACAGCTTCTGGTACTCCAGCTTGCCCTCCAGCTTCTTGGACTCGGCGACTTTGCGCACCGCGCCGTTGAAGTCATCCTGGCTGATCGACTCCCGATAGTCCTTGATGGCGAAGAGCCCGCTACTTGCCGTCAGTATTTATACACTTTCATAGGGTCCAGGAACACTTACGCTTCTGTCACGACGTTTCGCAAATCAGCACCGTTGAGACCGTCGCTCATCTTCACCACACTCTCAAAGTCAATGTCCCCATCCACCGACACGCTTTGGGCGTGAATCTTGAGAATCTCCAGCCGGCCGACCTCGTTGGGCAGAGGGATCTCGATCTTACGATCTAAGCGTCCGGCACGCAGCAACGCCGGGTCAAGTGTATCGGGTCTGTTTGTTGCCATGATGATCTTCGTCTTGCCCAAGTAGTCGAATCCGTCCAGCTGGTTGAGAAGCTCCATCAATGTTCTCTGAATCTCGCGATCCGCACTGGTGCCTTCCGAGAATCGTCGTCCGCCGATGGCGTCGATCTCGTCCATGAAAATGATGCAGGGCTCGTGCTCCTTGGCGTAGCCGAACATCTCGCGAATCAGCCGAGCTGACTCACCAATGTACTTGTCGACGATGGCGGAAGAGACAACTTCACCCATGTTAGTTGAAATTCAGCTAGACTGGTGTTCCCTCGGAAAGCATACCCTTCAAGAAGTTCGTCTCAAGACTGCTAGCAACCGCTCTCGCTAGCAGAGTCTTGCCTGTGCCAGGGGGTCCGTAGAGCAGGACACCCTTGGGCGGCTTTATCCCAACGCGCAAGAAGAGTTCGGGGTTCTTGAGCGGAAGTTCGATCACTTCGCGCAGTTCGCGGATCTGGTCGTTCAAGCCGCCGATTCCGGCAAAGCTGACCTGCCCAGGGTCCTCCAGCGACATGTTGTAGACGAGAGGGTCGACCTCGCGGGGCAGCATCCGCATGATTGTTAATGTCGTCATGTCCAATGCTACACGTGTGCCCTGCTTCATCTTCTCCTTGTCGACCTTGCTGCGACATCCGACGACATATCGAGGACCTGAGGATGCTTTCACAATAACTAGAGGCACGTATCAGCATCGCGTTCCCCCAGAGCTACGTGCGCCGCGCCGTTCGAACTCACATCGTTCTTCATCCAACTGCTTTAAGACCTCGCCGATAATCTGGCCGACGCTTTGCAGCGCCTTGATGTTGTCTTCTGTCTTATCAAACTCCTTCTGTAACTCCTTGATCTCGAGGCGTAGGTTCTTGAGCTTGGCTTCCCACTCTCGAGACTCGATGAGCTTGGCCCGGTACGAGTTGAGGGCAGCCTGGCGCTCTTCTTCGGGCGTCATGACGGCGATAGGGGACTTCTGCGATCCTTCGAAATGAGGGAGTATTTATCGTCGTCTTTGTTTCGCTCGTGGCCGGTGAGGTCTGCTGTGACGTGTCTGCAGGCAAAATGTGTCGGTTTGGAGATGCTGGTTGTTGCACTTGCAGCTCGGAGCTTACCTCATGCGTTGGGAGCCTTGCGTCGGCGGCATCATGGCGGCAGAATGTGGGCTGGTTTTCACCGCTTTCAATAATGCCTACCCTGTACGTTCGCTTCTGTACGTGAAGTGCCAACGATCAACAATACGTTCAGTGACGACTGGCACATGGTTTAATATTTAATCACAACTGGACCGATGGCGCACTGGAAGCTCCTGCGTTGACGGGGTTTTGGAAGTGTGCCACTCGATCATGAGTTTCCAGTGACTGTCATATACGTTGCTTGGCTTTCAAGATATTGACCACGAGGAGGCTGGTACATTGAATCAAGACAATTGGGGCCCGGTACACGAATTTTGCGTGCTAAGCTATATTTGTTTCCAAATCGAAGGCAATAATAACCTCGTAGTCCAATTCGACCGTAACGCCGTGGCCATGCCCATCTAATCCCCGGCTGGTTGATTGAAAAGCACACAGTATACATCCCCAAGCCTACCATCCGACTGCGGTCGCGGCCAAGTGATGGCGTTTACTTTGTCCCCGTAGCCTCGTCCTCGGCACCCTTCTCCTTCTTGTCTGCTTTGTCGTTGCGCTCGCCGTCAGCATCCAAGCCCAATGCTTCCAATTCCCGAATCAGCTCATTGATCTTGATGAGTTTAGCGATCTGCTCGGGCAGAAGCGCTTCGCCTCCCTCTTTCTTGTTCTGCAGATCCCTGGCTTGCTTCAACTTCTTCTTGAGGTTCCTCGCCTTCTTCTCCTTCTCGACCTCAGGGTCCACAGGCGTCTGTTGCTCTTCTGTCTTTGTCGCACCTGCAGCAGCACCCTCTTCTCCCTCAGTTGCCTTGGCTTTTTTCCTGGCCTCGCGCCGTTTTGCGTTCTTATTGCTCGCGGCGCTGCTCGCCTCCGCTGCCTTGCTGTTGTCGTCCTTCAACCCCTGCGTTCCTGGGACTCCCACCCTTTTTTGTCGCTCCTGGAAGGCATGGGCGGTACGGTTCTTGTAGACCTCGACGTCTTCGGCGGGACGGTAGCCCGGTCGAATCTTGATCGCTTTGCGGGTGCTGCCATCTGCGCGCTGGGACTCGGGGATGTGGCGCTCGCCGGTTTGAGCGGTGACTATGCCAGCGTTTGACGCTTTTGTAGCTTCGGAAGGCATAGCTGGTTTGTTTGAGCAATCCAAAAATGAGGTGAGAGGTGGGATTGATAAAGTCTGGCGTATGGCGCAACCTGAATGGAAGATGCGTCGTTTGGTGGGGGAGGGAGCGCGTGAGCTAGGTGTGCTCTTTCGAGATCGCCAAAGGTATATAAGTAGGTAGATCGTGGCGTAGATGATTGCGAGATCTGGGGATCTAGTTAATCACAACGACAGCCCGCGCCCGGCCCAGGAGGAGAAGGTGGCTGTGATGCCAACGGAGTTGAAGATGCCAGCGTCAAGAAAGGGTTGGAAGGCCCCACCATAACGAAAGTTTAGGATCGGCCAATGCTGGAGGTGCCAGGTGTACCTACGGTACGTAGTATCACCCCAACTTCGCAGCCCGTGATTTCAAAATACTTTGCCGTCATTGCCACGATGGACAAGTGCCCGGTGTAGAAGCTGGAGCAGAGGATATTGGAGCTCATATGAACCTTGAGTGCCTGGTAGCCGTGTAAGCAGCTATTCTACGAATTTGCGCGTGTCATGGCTCGAGGTATGCATCGCACAGGTGCCCTGTAATCTAGCAGCATTGCTACTCATAATAATCACACTGCTGCGACCTTGTGTGAATCGGATACAATATCGTAACTTGAGCGTATGGTATTCCGAATCTTCAATGTTCAATCAAAGCGCCGTGGACTCTGGACATTGACTGGTGGGTCCACCTCTGTCCAATCAACGTCGAGGTGAAGCCAACCCGGAACCTCGCGAATTTCCATCGTTCAAACTGCGAAGGACCTCGAGACGCTACCCTGGAACCATCCTACACGACCACAACACACTCATCGACACCTCGATCGTGCTCAATTGCACCGGCTCATCAAGATGGTATGCATCGCCTCCCCGCCGGGCTTGTGAGGATGATCGCCTTGACTAATCGCGCACATGTAGTCTATCACCGGCCAGCTTTACAGGTCAGTCGACCCATTCTACCGAACCGACTGAACGACACAATGCGATTCGATGGCGGTCACTCATATAGGGCATATCTGACAATCCGATAGCGTTCTGTTCAAGAAGAACTACGCCATGTTGGCGACCGTGTTCGGTGCCGGCTTCGCTTTCGAGATGTACGTCCGGCACGAGTAGGACAAGCATGAATGGACACTGACCGCGTGACAAGGGGCTTCAACACTGGCATGAACAAGCTCTGGGACTACCACAACCGCGGCGTACGTTTGAGCTCACAATGTCGAGACGATCGGGGTGCTAACCAGCATGCAGCGCCAATGGAAGGACATCCGCCACAAGTACGTTGAGGCCGCTGAGGAAGAGGACGAATAAATATCGACTGCCGCAGCAATTTGCGCATCGGGGGAGGAAGTGCATTACTTGTAAGAAGGCATAGAAAGGGGATTCAAATCATAAACCTTCCTTTTGTCCACGATCAAGAACGTGGCCCCTCGCGTGACGACACTCTTTCTCGCCGTGGCGTCCGGAAGCTCTCTACCTTAGAAATCAGGCTGCAGCGCATTTCGCGGGCATGTGAAGTCTTCGTAGATGCAGCCTTAATTACGGACGTTCCGGGTTGCTAATTCCTATAGCAACTTGGTAGTGATCTGACGTGACCGTGGGGTTGGTCGAATCCATCTCCTACATCATCCGTTGGAATTAAGTTGGGGTTCGGGCCCATCATCACATCTCCTTCGTAATTTTGACTTGCCTGCCACACAAACACCAGGCTTTGTTGCACAGTCTGCATTTTTTGCCCAACTCGACGGGAGACTTTTCTTTTACCTCGAGACATCAAGGCCGTCGCACGCAGTGTCCTCTCGAGGTCGCTTACCTCACCGACCAGAAACCCCCACCTCTGTACTGACGCCCGCCTGGCACGAGAAAGTCACGACGCCAGCGCTCGCGATTGCACTTGGAATGCCGCAATGATATCTCGCTGAATTATGGACGAGACCATGTCAACGCAGGAGCGGCAGCTCTGCGAGATTCTTGCCGGCCTGCCCGCGAAACACCGCTACAACTACGATGCGAACGCCGCCCACGAGCTGCTCCAAGCTCTCTTTTGGTCTCTGGCAGGCGGCAAGCGAGACCACTTTGACCTTCTCTTCCCCGACGGAAGAATTCCCGAGAGCTTGAGCCTCAGAGAGGCGCAAGGCGCTATGGATGGCGCCGAATATACCGAAGCCGCGCGTGGGAAGCGATGTGGGCATATCTTCAAGGCAGGCGAAGCAACGTACGCATGTCGGACGTGCGGCACAGACGATACATGCGTCCTGTGCGCGAGATGCTTCGAGTCGACTGATCACGAGGGCCACATGGTTCGAATGCACATTTCTGTGGGAAACAGCGGCTGCTGTGATTGCGGAGACGACGAAGCATGGAAAACATCCTTGTTCTGTACGATCCACTCGCAGATCGAGACGCAGGAGGGCAAGGGAAAGGGCAAGGCCATCGCTGAACCATCGGAAGAGATGTTGGGTAGCATACGGATGACAATGGCCCGGGTGCTGGATTACGTGTGCGACGTCATCTCTTGCTCGATCGAACAACTGCGCGAAGACAAATCCCGAGAGTCTGTGCTCAGAGACGAGGAGTCTGCTCGGCTTCTATCCAAATACTACGGTCCAGACGCAGGGCCATGCGAAGAGTTTTCCTTGATCCTTTGGAACGATGAGAAGCACACGGTACAAGAAGTTCAGGATCAAGTGGCCAGGGCATGCCGGAAGGAGCGCAAGGACGCTGAGAAGGATGCTTGGACAACCGACGCGGTGGGCCGATGTATACTGAAGTCGATGGACGACGTTGATGCCCTCTTGGACATGGCCCGGATTATCGAAGCTATCAGAATCACCGTAACAGTCAGATCGGCAAGGGACACCTTCCGGGAGCAGATGTGCGGCACCATCATCGAATGGCTGAACGATGTAGCAGGATGCGCCGTTGGTAACGACAATCAAATACTTGGACACGCAGTCTGCGAGGAGCTCATGCGTCCATGGCGCGTGGGCAGTCGCGCGACCCAGCTGTCTGGTGTCATTGACGATGAGGAAGAAGACGATCAGAACATGTACATTGGACCGGGTGGTCTCAGCACCGCTCGTCTTCAGCTTCTGATAGCTCGCCGCGTAGGCGTCGATGCCAGACAGGTCGACTTCGAGATCGAGGTAGACAACGATGAGGACGATGATGATGACATGGGGGATGGCTTTGATATTCACTCTTATGCTGGGTCCAGCGAGGCCGGCGATGAGGACGAAGATGGCGAAGACGCAATGATGGCGGATTCGAGGGAAGAGGTCGGCGACCCAAGCGTGAACTGGGGTCAACCCGAAGCACTGGAGGAAGACGAGGCCACGATGGCGGGCTACCCTCCCCCTCCCCCTCCACCGCCGGGCGGTCCTGCTCGTACGCAGCCTAGAGAGCGTGATGCGACACCATCTGACTCCGACACGGGCCAAGAGCCCCTGATCACCATGGTCCCCTACGAGAAAGCTAACGCCGACATTCCCAAAACGCCCGGCAAGACGGAAAAGGTGGTGCCAAAGCCGCCGCGGTACTGGCTAGAGACACCTGCAGGATACACTGATCGCAACTACCAACATCCCGCCGAGAATGTCTTCCAGCGTGTGCGACTTGACTGGCTCCTATTGTTTGACCTGCGCATGTGGAAGAAGGCGAGGACAGACCTACGTTCATTGTACATCTCGACGGTGGTCTCGATCCCAGAGTTCAAACGGCTACTCACGCTACGGTTCTCCAGCTTGTATACCACACTCGCCCAGCTATACCTCATTGGAGATCGCGAGCCCGACCACTCGATCATCAACATCTCCCTTCAGATGCTCACAACACCCTCGGTAACGGCGGAGATTGTCGAGAGGGGTAACTTTATGACCACGCTATTTGCGATCCTGTACACGTTCCTCACAACGCGACAAGTCGGTCACCCGTGGGACGTGGCGGCCGATGCCGTCCTAGCCTTCGAAAGCGGCACTGTCACCAACCGAAGGATGTATCACTTTTACCAGGATCTCAAGTACCTATTCCAAGCGCCTCACGTCAGAGAACGGATCCGGAACGAACCCAGGTATCTCATGCAGTTCCTGGACCTCGTCAAGCTGCACCAGGGCATTGGTCCGAACCTCCGTGCCGTCGTCGAGCACGTTGAATACGAGGCTGATTCGTGGATCACCGCGTCTCTGGTGACCCGGCAGATCAACACGCAAGCGCGCGCCTTGTGCGAGTCCTTCAGGTCCATCACCCCTGAGGAGATGCCCTACCTGCAGAGAGCCATTCGGTTCACGGCGAAGACTGTGATTCTCAACTCGATCGGCGCAGAGAGGCACAGATTCAAGCAAGCTGAAGTCAAGGAACCTGTCAAGTTCAAGACTGTGGACGACTTTGAGTTCAATGGGGACGATACCAAGTACTCGGTGGTGAACTTTGTTGTGGAAAAGGGGCACATCAGCTTCCATCATGGGCTGCACTACACCCTGTCCTGGCTGATTGAGTGTGCTCGGTCACTTGACGCCACTACTGTTCGGGACCTGCTGAGCTTCTCGTTGCAAGATCTTCAGTCCAAACCACGCTTGATGGGGAAGCTGAGCATTGCCAAAAGAGATCTCACACCAGAGGACTATCTGATGGCCGCCTTTGATTATCCTCTTCGGGTGTGCGCATGGCTCGCACAAATCAAGGCCAACATGTGGGTTAGGAATGGCATCAGTCTGCGTCACCAAGCTAGTACGTACCGTGGCATCGCCCAGCGAGATGTGTCCCATCAGCGAGACATCTTCCTGTTGCAGACGGCTCTGGTGATTTGTGACTCCAGCCGAGTGCTGGCATCCATCATCGACCGCTTTGGCATGGACTTGTGGGTGAAGGGCCTGTACGAGGTCAAGTCGGAGGCGCAGGACGATGCGCAGCACCTGGACGTGGTCGAAGACATGCTGCACTTGTTGATCGTCCTGCTCAGTGACCGCACGGTGATTACAGCACCACAGGGACAGGCGAATCACCGCCACCCTGCTATGCGCCGCGACCTCATCCACACATTGTGTTTCAAGCCTCTGTCGTTCAACGAGATCTGCAACAAGGTCCCGGAGAAGTACCAAGAATCAGAGGATTTCCAGGATCTGCTCCATGAATTAGCCACCTACAAGCCCCCTGAGAATATCTCAGATGTAGGCATGTTCGAGCTGCGTCCTGAGTTTATTGAGGAGATCGACCCTTATATCGCGCACTACAACAAGAATCAGCGCGAGGAGTCTGAATTGGCCTTCCGTAAGAAGATGGCGAAGCAGACAGGAAAGACCCCCGACGAAATTGTCTACGAGCCGAAGCCTACTCCTATCCCATCGGGTCTCTTCAAGGACTTGGCTGGCTTCACAGGCACAGGCACATTTGCGCAGATCATTTACTACTGCCTCCTCTACCCACTCAGTGCGCAGCAGTTCACGCCCAGCATCCCCTCGACACGCCTTGAGCCCTACCTGCAGGTCGTGCTCCATCTTGTACTCCTGGCGATACACGAGGATGAGAGCGACGAGAACTCCATGGTAGACGAGAACAAGGGCTCCTTTGTGCAGATTGCACTGACCAGACCCGCGCGGGCCAACCCGCCTTCGAGCCACCGTGAAGCAAGGACCATTGTCGCTCTTCTTAATCTGATTGCGTCCAAGGAGGAGTACAAGTCGGCGCACCCCAAGATCCATCTCGTGCTGAAGCGACTCAAGCAAAAGCGTCCCGTCACCTTTGAGCAAGCATTTGTGCATCTAGGGATCTCGGTCGACCGCGTCAATACGGCTTCGCCTGCCAATGCTTCTGCTGAGGAGGAGCGGGAGCGGAAGAAGAAGGCTGCGCTCGAGCGCCGCGCCAAGGTCATGGCCCAATTCCAAGAACAGCAGAAGAGCTTCATGGACAACCAGGCTGACATTGACTGGGGCGAGGACATTGAAGAGGACGTGGAAGAGCATCAGGAGCAGGGTGAGGGCCGCAAGCACACCTGGAAGTTTCCTACAGGCACTTGCATCCTTTGCCAGGAGGTGGCCGATGAGCGGAACCTGTACGGCACATTCACTCTGCTCAGTGAAAGTCGCTTGCTACGACAGACGGACTTCCAGGATCCCGACATTGTGCGGGAAGCCCTCCAGACGCCTTGCAACCTCGACCGCTCGGCAGAGGACATTCGGCCGTTTGGTATCGCCCATGAGAACCGGCACATGGTGGAGAAGCTCAACACCAAGGGCGAGAAGATTCTCGCCGAGCGCCAGACCGTTGGCAGAGGCTTCAAACCCTCGCAATCGCGACCGGGCGTCGTGGCCAGCGGGTGCGGCCACATGATGCATTACCGCTGCTTCGAGACATACTACGAGGCCACGTCGCGGCGCCACACGCAGCAGATTGCCCGACACCACCCGGAAGAAGTCAAGAAGAAGGAATTTGTGTGCCCGCTCTGCAAAGCTCTCGGCAATGCGTTCTTGCCGATCATCTGGAAGGGCGTGGAGGAGTCCTATCCCAGTCACCTTGCACCAGAGAGCGACTTTGCAGATTGGCTAGCTCGTAACTTGGGTTCAGAACAGTCTGTTGTGTCCGGCAAGGCGCCGGATGTGGAAGAAATGGGGAGCGTGTCGCGCATTCCAAGTTACTTCTCGGCGTTGGCTGAAGCCATCGGTCGTTCCATGGCGCCAAGGGACGGCGACAACGAGGATGACAGCGCCGAGTCGGAGGGGACAATGGCCGACTCGGAGTCGGACGTGTCAACGCCTGTTGCTGCTTCGGGCAGCTCGACGTTGGAGTCGGACCTGACGGCGGCGTATCGCAGGTTGCGCACCACGATTGAGAGCAACGCTTTTGGTTCTCGGCCTTGGATGGGCTTTGATGCTGTGCCTGGCGATATGGCGCAGAGCGACGTTATCATTGAAGCTGTTGGGTACACTATATCGTGTGCCGAAATCCAGCAGCGAGGCCAAGAGGTACAGCCTGGGCTGACGTTGCTTGACAAGATCCCCGACCATCTTCTCACGCACCTGCGCGTCCTCTCCGAGACTGCCACCTCATACCTTAGTATGGCCTCCAAGCGGGACCGAGGACGCAGCGGACGCTCGGCTCACACCGATAAGAATGCCGTGCGCCAACACACGCAGCTCCTCATCGGCCGCAGCTTCTCCTCGGATTCCGACGAGTCTCGCCGGCGCATTGATCTCTACGAGCCGCTCTTGAGCAAAGACACATTCTTGTTCCTAACAGAGTGCTCTTTTGGCCTCGTCCCTGCACAAGGTCACGACATTGCCCACATTCTGAGGCTGTGTTATCTCGCAGAGATTGTCAAGGTCATCCTCCACATGTCGCAGAACATGCCCACAAATAAGTGGTTCGGGCCACTACAGCATAGGCAGACCGAGGACGAGGCCATCAACAACTTTGCAGAGTTCGCCCTGGCAGTGTCACAGTTCACTCTGGACGTTGACCTGGCAAGGTACAATGACGCGGGAGTGCCTGTGGGAAACGAGGCCTTTATGCAGCCAGGGTTGGACACGGTGGAGGGATGGTACATCTTTGTCAAGAAGTACGCACTCACCTTCTTGCGAAAGTGTGTGCTTCTGATGAACATCACTTGGGGCGTGGACTTTAGCGCCTCCATCACCGCCAATCCCGAGGCCGAAGAGCTCGATCGCCTCACAGAGGTCCTGCGTGTTCCCTCGTTCGACCACATGTGCGCGAGCCTGACGCTGAATGCGGAGGCCGCTGGCTGGCCATCTCGAACCATATCGAACACGGTGCAGGGTTGGGTCAAGCACCAGATGCTGAACCACACTGGTGGCGGCGAGAACAAGCACGCGTTGGTGAGCCATCCTGGCATATTTGAGCTTGTCGGTCTCCCCAAGACATACGACGCGCTCGTGGAGGAAGCAACAAGGAGAAAATGCCCCACGACGGGCAAGGACCTGACCGACCCCATCATGTGCTTGTTCTGTGGGGAGCTCTGCTGTAGTCAAGCAACGTGCTGCATGGACAAGTTGACTCGTTTGGGCGGAGCGCAGCAGCATGTCCAACGGTAAGAGATCTTCAGAGTTGCGTGTCATGTTTAGTTGGAACCGGAGAAGCTAACAGTTGTCCACAGCTGCCAAAACAGCGTCGGCGTCTTCCTCAACATCAGAAAGTGCAGTATACTATACTTGTTCCGCACCTCGGGATCGTTCACCCCGGCACCCTACATTGACAAGTACGGCGAGACGGACTTTCAGTTGCGCCATGGACGCCAGCTCTTCTTGAGCCAAAAAAGATATGATACGATGATCCGGGCCACGGTATTGAACCACGGCGTGCCCAGCCTGATCAGCAGGAAACTAGAGGCAGAGATTAACAACGGGGGATGGGACACATTGTAATCGTGGGGGTAGTGGCAGTAGTGGCCTGCGAGAGATGTTCTGGGTGCACGCATCATCGGCTGAGCTGATCCACCGGGGAAGTGATAATACGGATATGGATCTTATGAGTGGCATTGCGTTTGTTGCCTTTGCGATCGTACCTTAAATTAGCAAGCTGGGATAGTAATTATGACACCTCGAGGCTCGAGACGATGAAGTTGATGCAGGTACAGTGCGATTGTACCGTGTGTGTTGGTGAATGCACAGTCCTGAGCCTCGCCAGCGGAAGCCAATCAGGCTTCATGCCACGCTGCGAGGCGCCTGGGCGCGTCTGAACTCGCGAGCGCACGTCTGGGCAAAAAGGCGTCCAGTCTCGTTTCCAGTATCTCCCAAATCCCTAATGAAGCAACGCTGAATCCGCCCACCGTATCCTAATTTGTTGATTCGCATCTCAACAAGGCGGGCATCACAGTCCCAGGCCCGCCCATCATGCCTCCCGGCCGTCGATCCGGTCGCGCTGCCGCCAAGAAGGCCGCCGCGGCGCTGGGTAAGTCCCTTCCTTCCCTCTTGCCAAACGACAACTTGCTGCGATTCATCCACCACCACATCCTCCCTCTTCCCTCACGTGCGCGTTCGCTTTCGTTGTCTGTGGCGCTGTCTCCTCGTGTGATATTGGGCAGAGCACATTGTGTGCGACGACGAATTGCCCTGCCGTGCCTATTGTGTTCTGCACAACGTCGCGAGACTCGCCCGTCCTTGCCTGGACACACCACCCGCCAGCATGGCGCGCCGACCAATTCGCCTGCGACTAACGCGAACGGCAGAAAATACGCCCAAAACCTACGACGACGCACCAGAGGAAGATGAGACCATGCCTGATGCCACGAACGAGGAGGTCCCCATCCCCGAAGACGACGACAAGGACTCGGAGCACGTAGAAGACAACGACGATGAGGAGGACGAAGACGACAAGGCTAGCAGAGACGGCGATTCAGATGGTGAGAAGGATGGAGAAGAGGAGGAGGAGGAGGAGGACAAGGGCGGAGAGCCCGCTCCTCCACCACCGCAGCGTGAGCGATCACCTCTACCAGCGGGCATGGTGCGCAGGAAGCGCCTGGGTCGGCCACCAAAGAACAAGCCTCCAGACTGGGATCCCATGGTCGTCGTGCCGTACGATGAAGCCCGCGACACGCCGCGTCGCCGTGGGCGCGGTGGCTACCGCGGTCGTGGTGGACGAAAGGGCGGTCCCTCTGCGCCCAAGGCAGAGCAGGTCATCGACGCTGAGGGGACGATTGCCGAGATTGCCAACGATGAGTGCGTTCTTCCCGAGGATCCAGAGGGAGAGCAGAAAGTCGACAAGAACGGAAATCTGTCGGGCGGGCGAGACTATCGTTGCCGTGTCTTCACCGTCCTGGGAAGGGGAGAGAGGCTGTACATGTTGTCCACCGAGCCCGCCCGCTGCGTGGGCTTCCGGGACAGCTATCTCTTCTTCACAAAGCATCGCAAGCTGCACAAGATCATCGTCGATGATGACGAGAAGCGTGACATGATTGAGCGGGATATCATCCCGCACTCATACAAGGGACGCTCCATAGGTATCGTCACGGCGCGGTCGGTCTTCCGCGAGTTTGGTGCGCGCATTATCATCGGCGGCAAGCGCATCGTCGATGACTACAACGTGGCCCAGGCGAGGGCGGACGGCGTGGTGGAGGGACAGCTTGCTGACCCTGACGACCGCTTCAACCCTTCCGAGCCGTACAACAAGAACCAGTACGTCGCCTGGCACGGCGCCAGTGCGGTGTACCACACGCAGACGCCATCGGTGCCAGTGCCGAATGGCAAGCCGCAGTATGCCAAGCGCAAGGTCAACCTGAATGATATGAACTGGATGTTTGAGCACGCGCGGGAGGCAAGGCAAGTACCGCATTGCATCATTCAACTTGGAGACCCTTTGCTAACCATACTACAGCATCTTCAACGCCAGGATCAACGAAATCCGCAAGCTCAACAATGCTGGCGTCTACGACATCCACACGAATACCATGCACTATCCCAAGATGATGCAGCCAACGCGGGCTCGCATCGAGCAGGTCCCCGTGGACGAGGAGGACAAGGCTAGCGCAGAAGATACCATCTTTACGCCTGTCCCAGCCAAAGTGGCCAAGAACTTCTTTGTTACGGACACGTACCTTGAGATCCCACCCGCGGGTCTTTCAAAGGGCGCCTACGAACACAGGGATCCCCACGACCCGCTGGCGTCCTTCAATGGCTTGGGCGTTGTGCCCGACGAGATCAAGAGTCTGCTCCCTCCCGAATGCCGCAAGGCCTTTGACACTGCCCTGGACCACGAGACGGAATGGAAGTCGAGATGGGGCGCGGAGAGCAAAACCATGTCCAGGAGAGAACCTGTCATCGACAAAGCCATTGTTCCTTACAGCATGTCCTAGACAGACGGCGGTCAGGTCAAGGTCAGGTCTAGATAGTGCTGACGGTGGTCAACATCACGGCAATGGGAATGGCGTCAGCAAGGCTAAGGATTCGAGTCAGCCCAAGAGGGTGGGATAAGGGAAGCACAGGCGAGAGGAGGAGGACTCAGCTTGGCGGCGCTTCATGCGTCAGGCTGTGCTAGTGACATCCCTGGGTATGATGAAGGAAGGGAGGGGGTTCATAAGGCGTTTCGGGGTTCTGGGAGCCAATCTAGAAGGGGATCATGCATTGTACTCTACGTACCAGTATCAGTCCCAATTAACCAATACCAATTTTGATTCATCAATCCGCGTCGCCAGGTGCGGGCGTGAGTCAGGCCGACCTGCTCTGAAAGAGCTCATTTTCGACTGCCATCGGGCCGGCAATCATCATACATATGTGCTTGGCACGTTGGGAATGACGGCTTCTCTCATCATATCCCTCTCTTCTCCCCCTCCTTACGCTCCTCTCATGCTGCGCAACGTGTGCCTTGGCGACGCATGCAAGCCAATGCGCACGGCTCCGCTTGTGCCTGCTGGACGATTACGGCCGACAGCAGTGAGGAGTCATTCAAGGTGCGTCCGATCAAGGCCGACTTGACATCGCAACGAGAGGGGGGGCACTCTGGACCATGCTGTGAAGGAACCATCGATGTGACGATCACGCAGTGAGGTGGCTTTTGGGGCGATATTGTGTTGACACCTCTCAGCCCAAAGCCCGACAGGAGACACGTACGTACTCTGTTGATCAATATCGGACGGAGGTCATGCGAGACGCATCGAGAGCCTCCGAGTACCGTTGTGTGTGTACGCTGTGCATGGTGTCGCGCTCCCTTTGAAGCCGCGGTCCAGCGCCTCGCCACAATGTGCCTCAGTGAAACATATCGCGGTCCCATGATGTGTTAATGGGTCAGCCGGGACGGCGTGCATCGCCTGGCATGCTTGTAATGATGCAGTGTTTAATTTTGCACACATTGGCTCGCTGGCTGACCACAACCGTGTTTTGAACCATGCGACTCCACGAGGGCTATGCTCTACACATGCTGAAAACAAAAGCAACCGTTGGGCGAATTCTCAGACGCATCGTGTAAGCCGGTAGACCATGGAAATCAGCACGCAAGATTGAAGTTACGGTAATAATACTATCATTACCTACCGACACCGGGTGACCCAAGGTGATATGGCGCGCGTCTTGTACAGGGTAGGTAAGCTTTATCGAAAACTGTGATACTACCTCAACCAAGCAATCGAACAGGCCGCGGGTGCAGAGCCAGAGCCCGGGTCGATGTAGTCACATGATTTTGACATCGCTGCGTACAACAATTACCACATGTGTCTGTGGTACACAATTGCCTGATTATGGATGCGCTGGTTTGGGCAGCTAGGAATCCAAGCGATGATACCTAGGTACTGTAATCATTAGCTGCCTGCAGGCTCTGCAGCACCGAAATTCGTCTCATCCGGTGCCTCGCAGAGATCGTCGCCAACCTCGCCTGCGCCGCCCGCTGTCGCAGGTCCCAACGTTCCAGATTTGCACGTTCGAGTCGAGTTTGGAACGCAGAGCGAAAAACATCGAACGCTCTCCGCCGCGCTGCAGTGGTTTGCGGGGAAAATGTCCTGCAGCCATCGTCAGCCAGCGAATGAGGCGCGCGTAGAGCCATGCTGAGCATCGAAGCGGTGTGCAAAAAGTTGAATAGACTCCGGTCGACCGGCTTCTGTGCATGCGCGCCGCCCCACTCCGTCGCTGGAGATCACGCATGTGGCAGACCTTTTTAGCAGTTGGCACGAGCGGCGGCTAACAAGAAATTTCTGTCCAACGGTGATTCTCAAGGACGCTGTGAAGTCATGACTGGAGTCGAGGCTGTTGAGCAAACCGATCCCAAATAGCGTGCTGGGAGATTGAATAATAGAGCCACAGCCATTGGCCGGCTCGTGACGCTAAAGGAGATGCCTGGCAAACTGGCCGGCAAGCAGAGATATTCTAGATCATCATACCTACTTGTACTATGGTAGTGATATCTTGGACCTGGTAACTGCGGTGCTCATAAAAATACCTGCAAGGTACAAAAACTTCACCTGCGCTGGGAGTAAGAGACTGGAGAAATCTTCGAACAAGACATCTGGAGACAGCCCCAGGTTGCAACTTGCAGGACCCCTAAACGGCCTTTTACAAGCATTACCAAGGGCTCTGGCCCGCGATGTTTCACGCACTAATTGAACATCGCTAGACTCGATTGGGCTTGCAGCGAATGGCGGCAAGAAATGATCGACTTGATTTATTAACAACGCACTATTAATACCGTGACAACTGACGATACGCGCGGTTCGCTTTGGCACTGATGACTGCGACATCTCCCGACTCTCTGAGATTGTTTTCGTAGTTGTACACGTAATAATATATCACAGCTCAACCTCAGGGGAGCAATCGAGAATGAGCGCCAGTCTAGTCATCCTATCCGTACTTACAAAGAGGGCTGCCCTTGGGGCCCAAGTTTATACAGACGGTACGATTTGTTGCGCTGGATGCAGGTGGAGTGACGACCCTTGTGCTCTGTTTGAATTAATTAACGGGTGTTCGGCGCTTTCAAGTCCGAATAATTAACCTAAAGGATGACGGGGTCACCGTTAAATTTTAAAACCCAACAACAAAGCTAAAAGGATGCCGCGTGAATTCCCAACGCCGCGTGGTAATTATTATTAATTACTACACTATCGACCTTGAAATGTACGAGTGTACATGTCGCTCAGAGTGACAGCCGTAGCATACCGACGTATCGTTTATTAGGTTGCCTCAAGATGTGCACAATAGGATATGTCGTTGCCACCGCTCGAAACGGCGCGTCATCGGGTGAGACGGCCTGTTGTTGTCCCGCGACTGTCGCTTGACCAGAACCAGATGCGGTCTGAGATTGCAGTGGTGGCCGTCGTAGCGGGCAATCGAGGAGGTACTGCAGGTGAGTTGCAGGGTGATCCATTGAGATGACGCTGAAGATGTGGCACGGTGGCGGGAGGAGAGGCAACCCTGAATATCGAAGTGGCCCATTCCGACGTCAGTAGGTAATGGTGCTTGTTTCATCACTTCTACTGAGGGCAATGGCGGGCTCGAGCGATGCCAGTGCCATGGTGCTTCAAGTGTTGCTTGCATCCCCTCTCCTCGCGTTGTATTATAGGTATCCTGTGGCTGGCGTCTGTTACTAACGCAGAAGCTGCGACTGGACTTCCAACAAGTGCGCAGGTCTGTCATTACCAGGTACTGCTTGGAAATTGCGCCTCGATCAGTAGACACCTGCCGTGCCCAGCAGCACCCCCCTGAACGGTCAGTTACCTGAGCAATGCAGCTTGTTGCTCAGTGCACACAGATGACTGAGGGTTAATATCGATAATTCAATGACTGTCTACCGATAATTCAATGACTGTCTACCCAACGCAACTTGTTGACTTATTATTATGCTTCCTACTCCGTAGACTTGTCGCTCTTTCGGTCTTGGTAGTGGTCACCTGACTAAACCAATTCATGACGTTCTTGCCTGGGCGGTCCACACACCCCTGATCAGGCTTCAGTGAGTTCGTGAAGTTTGAACGGATGGGCACCTTCTGAACAATAAGAGCACGCAAACCATGTGGTTGCAGAATGAGATACATGCATCCTGTATTTAGTCAGCTCTCCGCTCAGCGATCTTGCCGAGGGGTTTTCTGCCTGAGACTGTGGAGTCACGCAAGCGCTCAAGGTCTGGTCCAAGCCACGGCTGACCAGAAATGCACCTGGCTAACGTAGTACGTAGTATTATTATTATTAGTAGTTGAGTCTATGTACGTACACTCTACCTAGTGTTTTCTCAACACTTTGAAAACAAATCTCGGAACGTCACAAGCCTGTCCGGGTTGACTGCGCAACCTTGGGGTTTTCTAGGCCCGACGGTGATGGTAGTGCCCCCTGACGTGATAGTAAAGACACCGGGCGCGCACGGGGGCAATCTACCTGCCACCTACGTACGTACCTTGAGCCTGCCACATTCGCCCCAGCATCATCTCGGCCCAGTCTCTTGGCTGGATGCGCGTGCTGTTGCTGGGCGGCCAGTGGGTGGGTGCAAATAACGGAACTGAGGTCAGGGGTGGCGTCCCAGCCAATGACCGCCCAGAGCTGCATGCATCAGTGCGTGTATATTTTGTAACAGAACTGGCCATCTGCTCCGTCAGCGCACCCTGCGGTACTTTTCGTCGTGATCATGTCTGCGATTGGCCGAGATGACTCGAAATCCCCAATTCTTTGAACGGGCCACGTCCAGTCCACTTCTGGGACTGCAGTGCCACTGTTGGTGGTCCCAGACTCCCAGGTCCCTCGGGTCCCCTGGTCGAGCCTGCCTGGCGAAGCCTGGCAAGTGGTCATCATTCTGCTGCAGACCCCATTTCCGCGCAGCACGAGACTTTTTTTTGGCGCTACTTGTAGGTTTTCTGGTGTTGACAAACACCTCCAGTCGTGAGGTACGTACGGAGTACTGCACACTGAGGCAGCGACGGACCACCACGCACCATCCATCTGCACCCGCCCCGGCTAGCACAGGGCCCTACCTCACCATTTCTATCCCGTCTCTCCATCTCACACTCTCTTCCTCTCCTCAACCTCTTCCTCCAAACCCGACCTCCTCCCTATCTCTTCGACGAAAACTTCGAATCCGCCGAATTCACGACAAGCCGAGTCACGAACATTTTCTTTTTGTTCGTCGATTCAGGATTCAAGTTCATCGCGAACGACTTTCACCCTTCACGCCTCTTCCGCACTTTTACTGGCCCATCTCCTCGGTCAGCGTGGAAGTCTCGAAGGCACATTGCTTCTCGCGACTCCGTATCATCGAGCCTGCTGCGATTCCCTTGAGCAATTTTACTCTGCTGCATTTCTTCTTGTTCTAGGTATGTCACACTCCACCACTGTACGACACATTTTCCACACGCGGGACGCGGAGGCCCCAATGTTTGGGTCCAGCGGCATGGCTTGCGACGCAAGCTCTCGCTGCATCTCTGACAAAGACCGGATCGAATCAATTTGCGAAGCGCTAGCTCCCGTACCCTTCGATATCATTGTGATGGCGAGCATCAACTTGGAACCGCTGTGTCAGGCTCGCCAACGAATCCCTTGTCCTACACCACATCGCTCCGTGTCTAGCGAACCGAAGCAGTCCTCCAGACACCATTTGCTAACATAGTGAAACAGACTTTCGATATCTCCTTCGAGCATCCGGTACGGTATCTCACTCACGACCTTCCAGCTATCCCGGTCACGACCTTACTTCACTCTACGACACGACCGACCCTGCTTCCCCTGTGCCGATTCTCGCGGAATCAACTAGCAGACGATCCTTGTTAAATGGCGAGTAGATCTTGCTAGACACGCCCCATTGTAACGGCGCTTCTCAAGCATCGAGGTTTCGAAATCCGCATTTGCGATTCCGAAACCGCTTTCACCGACCAAGATCTTCTCCAAGGTCTTAGTCGGCCCTCTTCTCTCCCCCATCATGCCTGGTGGTGTCTGCGCCGTCCTCGACTACGATGTCGAGGTCATGGCCGAATACGTTGCCGACATGGCGATTAGGGTTGTCACCCCCGAGGCCACTGTGACACCGGGCTTTCGCAAGTTCGTGTCTCAGATCCTGACATCCACGCGCCTGCCTAGCACCACGATCCTCCTCGGCATGAACTATCTTGCGAAGAGGATCAATTCCATGAAGACCCAAGGCGCTTATACGGCGACCGAGGGCCAAGTATGGCGCTACCTCACGGTGTCTCTGCTTCTGGGCAGCAAATTCCTGGACGACAACACTTTCCAGAATCGATCCTGGTCCGAAGTCAGTGGAATATCTGTCTCGGAACTCAACGCACTCGAATTTGACTGGGTGCAGTCCATGTCATGGCGCTTGTACGTCAACCTTGACTTGAGCAAGGATTACCAAGCTTGGCTGGAGAATTGGAAGGAGTGGCAGCAAAACAAGAAGAGGCAGTTGCAAGCCTCTCGCGAGAGGGCGACGCCCCGTATCCCTGCCATCAACACGGAGGTCGGCCGATATCACGACGGTCGTCACTCTTCGTACTCGCGCTACGTTAAAGACCAAGCTGCGGAAATTGAGCGCTACCAGACCGGCAAGGTCCACCAACATGGTAGCTATCATTCACGAGACTCGGCCTGGTCCAGCAATGCTTGGAGCGCGCCTCTCACACCCCCCGACTCTGGCTACGGTACCCCTGAGTCCTATGGCATGTCGGCAGTGTCGAGCAATGCGCACTACAACGACTGGTTCTCTCAAGCCGCTGCTCAGTACAACGGACGCTTTCACCAGGCCCCTGCGCGCAATCCTTTCTACTCGAGCCGCCCCCCTGCGTACAGTGCCCATGGTTACACATACAACCAGCACCAAAACATCTGGGAGCATGGCATGGCTGAGTGTAACTGCCCCTCTTGCGCCGGCCCTCTCAAGGACGGCCCCTACTTCACATCGCATGGCTACGGTCAGCCTGTGATGGGCTAGACCCTGGAGTCTATCGAATTCTCACAAAAGTTCTTGTAATTGCCTATCATGGCATGCGGCATTCCAGACACAACGCGGCAGCATCATCGGCTTTTCTCTTTCTTCTTTTTCACGACCACGACTTTCCTTGTTTTTTCTCGTACACTCAAAAATAACGACGCGCGATCTCGATACCCAGACACGACAGCGTGATCTCGTGCGGAAGAATTGGGTCACCCAGCCGCATCTCGAGTCCCATGCATAGCACATTGTCGTCTTTTTGTTTATTGCTGCTTTTCTTGGAACACGTCTACCATGGTTCAACCGGCGTTTTTGTTTTTAAACGTTTTCAAGACACATTTTTTTTTCGCGATAGATATGGGAGCGGGCCACATTTGCACGGCCTTAAAAGGTTTACGATGGATGGCTGTCCGCCCTGAGAACAGACATTCAGACGATACGACGAGCGCGCGAGAGACGCTCCATTTTCACGCAATGTGAGACGCCGCTACTGCTCACACCGTTCGCACATTGGACACCACATTCTGGTCCGCTGCCGAACCCTATCTGTGGCACGAAACGGGGTGAAAAGTTTTGCCACAGTATATACAAATCTCCTATTGCCAGGATTGCTTCGGCAAGGCGGTTTGCTGCATTGCAGGTACAAGAATGGGGTACGGAAGGTTTACTTTGGTGTTGTATTCAAACTTCACATTCAACGGAGTCGCATGGTGCGGGCCTTGAGCCCTCGTCAAGGTGGCCTCCCATGATTCTCTTCTTCGATTTCTAGACATTGTTCTTATGGGATGGCATTTGTTCTTTACGGGGGGTTATGGTACATTGGGCAGGATTGCATGCTTTTAATCGGAGGTTTTCTTCACTGCGGGCGACGCTGTCGTTGAGGACAGGCTCAGCAGTCGCTTTTATGACTTTGACGAAGGATTTGGATGGCAGCAGGCGCAGGGTGTCTCGCGAGACTGATTCTCCAAGGCCATTCACTGGGTGAGGGGACGACATAGAATCTCCTAGACGAGAAGTCTATTGCACTTTGCTACGCCATTTATTGTGTCGACGTGTATGGATCACACGCTGAATGTCCCGTATGTTGATGATTGAGGTTCAGTTGGGATTGGCAGAACCCGGTAGATTTACGGCTAGCGACTTTGGCTTGCCATGCCCGTAGGTACTCTCTCAACAAAGTCGCTAGTGCTAGTGAGCAGAATTTAGCCACCTATGATTTAGAATCATACATAAATAAGTCTTTCAAGGCGTAAACCTTTCTACAGATTTACTCTGGGCCTTATAGTGCTTGTAGGCCAATAACTGTGTTCGATATTGGCATCATCCCGAACAGGGATACTGATCAAGCAGACACTAGCGCTCGCGACTTTGCCGAGAGAGTACGATTATCAATCACATCCCGTCAAATACCACAGTGCTGTGACGACTTGTTCTACATCGCTCAGACCGGGACAACTGCAAAAAGTATTGGTCAAATCCGGAACTCTTGGTCAACATGTCCAATCGCTTCGTCTCTGGAGGCACGATATCCTCCTCCGGCGACGACCGCCCAGATCAAAGGTCCGCCGAAGAGACTGGTACCTCTGCGGGCACGAATGCACAGTGGGAAGCCGTACAAAAGCAACTAGATGCGGAGAGACAGCAACGGGAAGAATCCAGGAGGAAAGCCATCGAGGGCGGCGAGAGGTCATTGTACGATGTGTTGCAAGAGAACAAAGGTAACAGCAGTCCGCCAGCCATTTGATATGCCCAAGAGACGATGCGGGACGATGGGCTGACGGGAGAGCAGCCGCGAAGGAAGCTGCCTTTGCAGAACAAGCGAAGCTGTCAAATCAGTTTCAGATGTTAAACGAGGATGATGTGGACTTTCTAGACGAGGTCCGCGAGAAGAAAAGACAAGAGGAAGAGAGACTAAGGAAAGAGACGGAGGAAGGCTTGAAGCGGTTTCGGGAGCAGCAGAAGGGTGGTGGTGATGATGGTGACGCGGCTAAGCAGGCAGAGGAGAACGAGGCTTGGGCTGTTGGCGTGCGAAAGAGGAAGCGCAAGGAGAAAGAGGGCGGCCTTGGCGTAAAGAAGAAACTCGCGAGCGATGTGAAAAAAAACGACAGGGAGAAGAAGAAGGAGGAGGAGAGCGAGGACGGTGCGAGGGCGAGTGAAGATAAGACATCGGCACCCGAGGCGGAGGCAATTGCACAGAACAAGAAGCCGTCATTATCAGGGTTAGTGAGCTACGACTCGGACGACAGCGACTGATGGACCGCGCTCTCACATACAACAAAAATAATGATTGGCGTGACTTGCCCACCTTATGACTGGCCCCTTTCTATGATGCTATACAGGATATCGTTGATGAATACACTTGATGGTACAGTAAACTTACTAGCCAGCCTCTCTACACGCTCCCCCAAATGGTTTCATGTACTGATTAGTCGTCCAGGTTTCCAACGTTGGGTCCTTTGGGCTTGGACTCAAAGGAGCTGGCGCCCCATCGCCACACACTCCTCAAGCTACCCTTGATCCAGCCCTCAATCTCCTCCTCGGGCACCTTGATCTGTGCAGCCCGAGCCTCCAGCTCAGGCGTGATCTCAAACCGGCGCATGCGGCTGGTGATGCGAGGGTCTACGGTCAGAGGCGACGCCCAGATCTTCTCTTTGGGAGGCTTGGGCGTGCTGTTCTCCTCCTCGTCCTTGCTGGGCTCGTCCTGCCAGACGAACTTGGGCCAGTCCCTCTCACCACTCTTGAGAACAAGCTGCTGTTCCGTTTCGTCGCCCTCTTGGGGCTTCCAGTCCCGCGACGTGGCGAAGCAGACGGCAGCGACGTCACGACCAATGTCGTCGGCAAGCTTGCGGCGGTTCAGGAAGCGTCCAAGACGCACAAATGTGTGTCGGAAACCGAGACGATGAGGATGCGGCAGAGGCGCCGAGGGCGCAAACTCCTCGGGGATGGTAGGTGGTAGCGACGCAAGGGCGTAGTCTTCAGGCTTGTTGTGAGGGAGAGGCTGAGGGGGGCGATCAGGCTTCTTCTCCTCCTCCGCCGGGGCCTCCTTCTTCTCGCCGTCCTCGCCTGTCTGGGACTTAGGCTCAACGATAGGCTGCGGCGGCGCTTGTAGCGAGCCTAGCCAGCCCTCGTGTAGCCCGCGAACGTATTCCTTCCAAGTATGCCGTCCCATGACAATGTCGCCCTTGACGCCCTGGTATTCAGGCAGGTTCATTCTCTTCCTCAGTGCTTCTAGGTTGTCTTCCTCGGTAGGCGGCACGTCCTCGGTGGGCTGCTCGGTCTTCCGCCTCAGACGACGAATCTTCTCGGCCACGGCGGCCCTCACGTCTCCCTGCTGCCTGCCCTGGACAAACTCCCAGTCGAGACCACTGGCCGCCAGCACGGGCTTAGCATACTCAATGAAGTGGTCCTGCGCCGTGCGGAGCGAGTCGCCCGGCGGGGCCTCGAGGTAGATGGTGAGTTTCCGGGGAAGCTGGTTCGCGGCGCCAATGGGCTCATTTGCCATGGGGGCCACGAGGCGACGCCATTTGGCGGTGGCCCGCTTCTTCTCGCGCTTGTCGTAGATGATGAAGGAGGCAAAGGCGCCTGTGATGCCCCAGAAGATCATCCAGTTGCGTGAGGGCAGCTTCCGAGGAAGGTTGGGCAGGCCCATCATGCGGAGTGCTGGATTCTGGGGTTTGGGTGGTGGTGTCGGTGCCGCCGCGGGGGCGGCAGGCTGGGCTGGCGTCGGCTGTGTTTCCGCCATGATGAGTTCCAGCGAAGCAAAAGGTAGCAAGAATGTAGCGATAAAGGGGAGGGGATGGCGGTGCGCCAGATCCTGGTGCAAATGGCGACGGTAGTTGGCGCGCTGCGTCGCGAGAAAATCTGGCTGCGATAAGGGATTATCGGAGCTTATCGGGTGAGATAAGGGGCGCTGACCAGCAACTCCTGGAGCTGGAATTTATGCTCCATCACGAGAACCCTCTCAGACAAGAACATGTCGAATAAGTAAGAGCAGCAAGATAGCCGCCTGATATCCCAAGCTGTATACTTTTTGTACATATCCTTCTCACTTCCACCCACAGCGATGCTTGGCCGGACTTCTGGAAAGCCTGTTGAGTGAGTGTACAGTAGCTACGAATCGTGCATTGCCTTGCATTGCGGTAGTAGGCAGTAGACAGGCATCTAGGCGGCACGCACCGAGACATGATGACATGGAGATCACATTGCCGCGAGTGTCGTGAGACACTCTGATGAAAAGCGTCATTGACCTTTGTACTGCGTGTCTTGGCCTAGCAATGGTAGAGACAACCAACAACCGCTGGCCAAGAGCGAGCACACGCTGCGCTTCGATCTAACAGGCAGGCTGGGGCACAGTTCTCTCTTGCGCTATAGTCGTACGTACATTGGCTCCCGGTTTCAGATGTCCGGTCGACCTGAAAAAGACACGGCACGTTGTTGGTGTCCGAGTGTTGCAACATGATGCTGGGATGGTGGGGTATCGCTATCAGCACGAGGAGCCCTGGGCGGATGCAGGCTGTCCATGTCGTCTCGCCTGCCCCAGAGAAACGACATGACGGGCATGCATATTCGCTGCACTGCGGAGGAAAACGCACTACGCAAAGGTGCACGTCGACCTGTTGTCGTGAACGAGGCTGCTGTCCAAAGACGGGCCACCCATGCCATCCATGGCTGTCCTGAATGAAACAAATGAATCGACAATCGATCAACCAACCGCACCCATTCCCAACTAAGCGCGGTCCGTAGTTAGTGGGGATTTAGGGGCGGCCACCGTTGGCTAGCGAGTGCTCCAGTGCGAGGATCCGGGTCCGTGCCCCTCACACTTGCTGTCCGTCCCCTGTGCTGTCCGTCGTACGAAACCTCCACAGCCGGCGGATGTGGCTGTTCGAGACGCTCCCCTTTCCAAAGCACTCTTGGCTTCTTTCCTTAGTACTTCAGCTCCCGTCGTTGTTGAGCGAGGGTACGTCTCGTCACGTCGTTGCTGGTGAGTGTCTCTGCCCTCTCTTCCCCAGCACCTAACTGACCAACTCGCACCCAGATCTTTGAGGACCCTTGGACACCCCTCCACCTATAACCTTGACCGCCACCGTGTTTGCCTCGCAGCTCGACTGCTAGCCCTGTCAGCCGATAATAGTCGAATCGAGCCGGGTCGACGAACGCAGCGGCTCCCGAAAAATACACAGCGACGAGAACCTCGGTCGGCGCGTCCCTACCTTCGCTTACTAGCTTCGCATTGGAGCTTTGTCAGGACCGATATCGCCCATCTTTGCCTCAGCGCCGTCACAGACTCACAGACCTTGAGCCGGTGGCAGAAAAAGCTAGCTCTTTTCTTTAAGATGGATCCCAACCGGTTGCACCTCAACTTTGACAGCAGCCAGCAGAGGCTGCCTGTGCCAAACGACAGGGCGTACCCCACGACTCCCTCCACGTTCCCTCAGCCCGTGTTACCTCCCGGCCAGCAACAGCAGGGAGGAGGACTGCACCCTCAGCAGCAGCAGCAGCAGTACGCTCAGCAGCAATACGCCCCCCAAGGCTACTTCGCCCAGAACAACCAGCAGTATGCTCCCCAGTACGCTGGCCAGCAGCTCGACGATCGCAACGCCCAGTACCAGCCTCGATCCAACACCCCGGGCAATGACCCCAACCAGGGGTTGGCCCACCAGTTCTCTCACCAGAACCTAGGTGGTGCTGCGCGGAACGCTGCCTACGCTCGCGGCCCTTCGCCTGGCCAGCGCCCGCGCACGGCGGGAAGTGGTGGACAGCAGCCTTCGTACGATCGCTACGCAAATGCGCCTCCTGTACCGTCGCCTGCCTCGGCCCCCGTCCACGAGTTCCAGCAGGCCCCCGAGCGTAATCCGGACAGGTACGGCAGCAACGCCAACAGCAACCAGAAGAAATGCTCTCAGCTGGCCGCGGATTTCTTCAGGGATAGTGTCAAGAGGGCCCGCGAGCGCAACCAGAGGTGCGGAGTGCTTGATCCCCATAACTGAGCTCAGAGCTGACAATTTCTTGCAGACAAAGCGAACTTGAGCAGAAGCTCCAGGACCCCCAACAGAATCCTGCCAGGAGGGAACAGTTGTGGTCCACGGCTGGGCGCAAGGAGGCTCAATACTTGAGGTTCCTGCGCACCAAGGACAAGCCCGAGAACTACAACACTGTCAAGATTATTGGCAAGGGTGCCTTTGGTGAGGTCAAGCTGGTGCAGAAGAAGGGCGACGGCAAGGTCTACGCCATGAAGTCTCTGATAAAGACAGAGATGTTCAAGAAGGACCAACTTGCGCACGTCCGCTCCGAGCGTGACATTCTGGCCGAATCAGACAGTCCGTGGGTCGTCAAGCTCTACACCACATTCCAGGATTCGTACTTTTTGTACATGCTGATGGAGTTCTTGCCTGGTGGTGATTTGATGACAATGCTCATCAAGTATGAGATCTTCTCAGAGGACATTACAAGATTCTACATTGCGGAGATTGTGCTGGCCATTGACGCGGTCCACAAGCTCGGCTTCATTCATCGGTGAGCCGATCATGACCTACTCACGAGAATGCTACTGACATCGCAAATAGTGACATCAAGCCTGACAACATTCTGCTTGATCGCGGGGGCCACGTCAAGCTGACAGACTTTGGTCTCTCGACCGGTTTCCACAAGCTCCACGATAACAACTACTACCAACAGCTGCTCCAGGGACGCTCGAACCGGCCCCGTGACCGCAGCTCTGTCGCCATTGACCAGATCAATCTGACTGTCAGCAACCGTTCCCAGATCAACGACTGGCGTCGGTCGCGCCGCCTCATGGCTTACTCGACTGTGGGCACTCCCGATTACATTGCGCCCGAGATCTTCACCGGACACGGTTACACCTTTGACTGCGATTGGTGGTCGCTGGGTACCATCATGTTCGAGTGTCTCGTTGGCTGGCCGCCGTTCTGCGCCGAAGACAGCCACGATACATACCGCAAGATTGTCAATTGGAGGCAGACACTCTACTTCCCCGACGACATCACACTGGGCGCTGAGGCAGAGAACCTGATCCGGAGGTATGTCATTCTGTTTCGCACGGCCAAGTCACTCTTTTACTAACAAATCTTACAGCATGGTTTGCAACACCGAAAACCGCCTGGGCCGCGGCGGCGCTCAGGAGCTCAAGAACCACGCGTTCTTCCGCGGTGTCGACTTTGACAGTCTGCGTCGCATCCGTGCGCCGTTTGAGCCCAGGCTCACGTCCAACATTGACACAACCTACTTCCCCACCGACGAGATTGACCAGACGGACAACGCCACGATGCTCAAGGCGCAGGCTATCCAGCAGGGCCGCACCGCACCTGTGGAGGAGTCTCCGGAGATGAGCTTGCCCTTCATCGGCTATACATTCAAGCGTTTTGATAACAACTTCCGCTAGAGAACGGAAAGGGAAAGGGGGAAATGGATGGTGATGACTTTTGATCTGCATAGCTTGTGGGGGTACTTTATAAGTTGCAATTTGTAGTAGAAAAAGCGACGCATATAGGCAACATATGATCTCGGAAGGGGATATGCACATCGAATGGACAGCGATAAAGCACGAAGAAGATATTTTTACTGATGGGTATCTTGATTAAACGGGTTCCCTGTGGTGTTCTCCCTATTCGAACATTGTCCAGTGCTAACGTCTCACGTTCGCAAGAGACTAGAAACAGTATTGGTTCTGCTCTTGGATGGCGCTCTCTCATTACACGCAAGCCGCTTGCCCGATTGTGACCGCCACACCGACGTGCTCCTGTTCTAACTTTAGACCTTACCGGCACGACCCTGGAGGCCATCATCCGCAGCTTGCGTGTGCTGCAGGGCCTCATTGCATGCGCGAGCGCCTCTGTACATCCAGCCACTGGCATGGCGTTGCGGGAGATATGTTGATGCAAATCCTCTTCCCACCGGCCCCTTTTCACGTTCTGCCGCCCAACCCAGGCGCAGCGTTGTACCTCTCCTCTCTCTCCGTCATGAACATGACCTGGAGCCAGTACTCCTTCGCGTCCGCATCCCAATAGTCAAACTGCCGATCTTCTCTCTTGTCCAGCTCCCTGGCGGGTATCTTGAAACCGACCGTCTCGTACGGCTCCGCCGCGACGAGAAGGTACTGGTAATTCCGATCCGGCTCCTCGACATGCTGTGTGAACGCATTCATGACCTGCCACTTGGGCGCGGGGGCGCCGGGCGCCGCATCGGGGTACTGCAGTTGGAAGAGCAGGCCCTGTTGCCGTGTGTGCGGATCGCGAATCTTGGTGATCTTGTACCCCGGCCGCCCGATCTTGACGAGGTTCCTCCGCACCTGCGCTACGCCGACTGGGAGACCCGTGGCCGGGTCGATGCCGCCATTCTCGCGTGCCCTGCCCTCCTTCTCTTCCTTGGCCGCGCGGCGCGCGAGGTTGGTCTGATGTTTCTTGCCTTGTGTGTGGGCGAGGTATGATCCGTCGTTCTGGTGGACTGTGAGGCAGAGGCGGCACTCGAACGAGCCGACGTGGTTTTTGAAGAAGTACGGGTCCTTGTCCAGGTCGATCGTCTCGAGGGCGAGTTTGCGTAGACGCTCGCGACGGTCGGCGTTTGTGGCGGATTGGGAGGCTACGCCACCGCCTCCGAATTTCGAGCCTGCGCGGTTCTGGAAATCCATATTGGGGTGTTCTTTGTGGGTGCAAGTCTGGTCTGTTCACGGCGGTGAGGCTGATGTGGTGGAAGCAAGAGTTGTATGGTGGTGGAGATGCGTCGCGTGTCGTTGGTTCACGCGGACGAGACTGGAAATTTCGAGGATGCGCCGGCTGAGCATCGGCTAGTTGCAGACGATAGTGCTTTCTCTGTAGGGTAGTCAATTACTAATGCTCCCTAAGTAACAGATTCCAGTGAATCCAGCCAGAACATCAACGTTCCAGCAACCAGACTTTATTGACGCATGCTCACAATGACAACTCGCTACGGTACTTGCCCACAAACGTGGCAACCGCCCCAACGAAGCGATCCAACTCCTCTTGCGGCGTCTCCAAAATCAGCGCCACGAAGCCTCGTTTCGCGAGCCAGAAGCCCTGCTCGATCATCTCAAACCAAAACAATTCCATCATGACCTGATCCTCCTCAACATCACTTGCTCTCAGGATCTCCCTAGTGCCGCACTTGGTGATGTGCACAGCCATAATGGTGCCGAGGCCTGTGAAGCACATCCTCGTTCCACTGCTTACTTCGTTCAACTTCGCCCTCAGGGCCTCGCCGACCTGGGTGAACCTCTCGGCCTCGGATGAGGTGTAGAGCTCCTTGAGGCCGGTGTACCCGGCGTGAGTGACGAGCGTATTGTTGTTGAACGTGCCTGAGTGGGCAACTGAGGTGCTGAGACGGGGATCAAAGGCAGCCATAATGTCAGCCCGGCCGCCAAAGGCGCCGATGGCGAGACCGCCGCCGAGCCACTTCCCAAACGTTTTCAGATCGGGCTTGAGGCCATACATTTGCGCAAGACCGCCAGACGACAGCCGCGAAGTCATGACCTCGTCGAGGATGAAGAGAACACCAGCCTGGTCCAGAGTGTCAGCGCGAGCGGAACAGTGGCAAGGAATAGGGGAGACAGTGTCAGCTACTCACATCATGAGCTGCCTCCTGGACGCCCCTGAGGAAGTCGATCGTGCCAGCAAAGCACCCTCCGGCACCCTGCATGCCTTCCACGATGACCGCTGCAACGCCCTCCGTCTTGATAGCTGCCTTGGCACTCTCCAGGTCGTTGTAGCGCGCCACAACCCAGTCCTGCTTGTCGACGTTGTTCTTCGCGGGGGCTCCGCCCCTGAAACCAAGGACACCGCCATGATACCCGCCTGAGAACGACACCACCTTGTGCTTGCCCGTGAACAACCTTGCAGCAGCTAGGGCGTGGAGGTTGGCTTCTGTGCCCGAGTTGGCGAAGCGCACACGCTCGAGGGCGAAGCGGGAGCACACTTCACGGGCAAAGAGGGTCTCCTGCCGGGTGTTGGCGCCCACATTCATGCCAATGGTCTGAACGACATTGGTGATTGCCTCTTGAAGCCTGGGGTTGGAGTGGCCGTATAATGCGGCTGTGAACTCGCACAGCAGGTCCGTGTACCTTGTGTCTTGTAAGCGTCCCGTGCCCAAGCTCCTAGAGTCATTTTGGGACGTACGTCTTGCCATCTTCTGATATAACCTGGTGATTCTTGCCTGATTTCATGTAAATCGGAAAAGGGCCTGCATGCAGAACGGTCCTCGTGTTGCCTCCGGGCAGCGACAGTGTGGCTTCCTCATGGAGCGCCTTTGAGGTAGGGTTGGCTTCAGTATAGCGCTGCTTTGCAGCCTCGACAGCGTCCGTCAAGGAATGTGTAGACATGTTGTACTTTAGTGCTTTTGGATTGAATGTGCTTGGCTTTTCATCAGAAATGGGAGGAATTCCAGCTCCTTTTATCCTCTCGTTGACTGCTGGCTTACATGCATCGAGGCGCCGATAGCCACCCGAAATCGGGTTTCGCATCTCGGGCTTGGTGGGCCGCGCAACAATTGGCCCAAGAGAGAAGGCTGTCGTAGCCACGGACGAATGACATAGCCAGTGAATGATCATTTGATCCTACGCCCTTAGATGACTTCCGAGTGTCGCTCCTGGCTGTTCGATCCTGTTGGCTACAATATGACGCGACCTTGACGGACAAGGTTGTGGTAATGAGTACAGACAGGTCTCGCCAGTGGAAAGCTGGTGGTTGATCCGCGTTCTCGGTGTGGGCGAATGTAGGTAGTAGTGGCTCACATGGAATCACGAAGCTATGGCAGTCTGTCAGCACTCCATGTATCGTTGCCGATCGTGTATAGAACTTAATAAATGTTAGTCTGGAGCATCAATCTCGTCCCCGGGAGCAATGTCACGCTGGCTCAGACAAATCTGTGACCATGCTCATGTCTAGTGCATTCATTATAGCCTAAGTTGAAAACTAAACTCAGACGGTTTGCGTTCCGTATCCCTTGATGCGGTCGGCAAAGGCCCAGCTCATGTTCTCGAGCTTCTCGCTTGTCTTCATCTCCACGCCCTCGCGAGACACAACCGCTAGCGAGTATGTCTCCTGGCTGCGGGCGTCACGGTAGAAGAGAACCTTCATGCACTCCTGGATGACCTTGATGGCCTCCTCTTTTGTGCGCTCGGCGGCTTCCTCGTCGGTGCCCGCGTAGGTGCGGAGCAGGGGCTGCGCCAGCATGCTACCGATGCCGGTCGCGAGCGTGGGCGCAGTGAACGTAGTGCCCAGCAAGTCCGCGCTGCCGACAAACGGCTTCTCGTCGTCGTCGAAGCCTACCACGAGCATGTGATTCCACAACGGGTCCATCTTGGAGCGACGGCGGTAGAGCATCTTGGAGAGATACGTGTGGAGGTTGGCCGCGGACAGGCGGGACTTCTTGTTGGCGCTGGACGACGCGTACGACTCCTCGATGGATTTTTGGTGCAGGTGACGGGTGATGTACTGCATGTCGGAGATGTCGCCAGAGAAGCCGACGACGGAGGTGTCCTGGAAGGTGTGCAGACGCTTGACGTCGGTGAAGCGAGCAAAGGACCCGTAGGAACCCAGGTTATCGGCGGCGATGACGACGCCGTCCTTGTACTTGACGGCGAGGACTGAGGTACCCGTCACGAGAGGCTGTTGGGTGTGCTGGTTGGGGTGGCTGTTGGTGTTCATGAACGAGTGATCGTAAGCGCCGTAGACATCGTCGCGAGGCTTCGAAAATGTTAGTCCACAAGAGAGTCGACCTCAGAGTGTATAAGAGAGCTTACACGGCCCCAAGCCTGTGGTCGGTGATCCATGGTCGGTATTCGAAGATGTGGGATATGCGGGCAGGAATCGAGTGACGTTGGCGGTGTCGGCGTAGATTGAGGCTTCACAAAAGACGAAGACTCGCGGAGGTTGCAAGTCGACAACGGAAGAGCCGGTGATGGGCTCTAGGTGATTGATGGTAGTCTTGGTGCTGGGTGTTGGCAGACGAGATCCTCGTCCAGCGTTAGCGGTTCATCAACGTTCAGTCAAACGCGAGGTCATGGCTGCCTACTGCCCACCTCACAGCCGTAGCTGACATCACCGCCTTGATTGGTTCATTCGCTCCCGCACTGGCAGGAGCTCTGGTGGATCATCATGGCCAACTCTGGACTAGCGCCATCTCACCAGCTGCTGTACCTCACGCTGCACGCATGCAGGCGAGCAAGGTCCATGTCCCCTTCTGCCCTCGTCATTCAGCCCAGCCCTTCGACCTCAAACTCGGGCCAGGAGCACGAGAGCACGTCAAGCTGTCCGACATTTGCGCACTTCTGCACGACCCAAAAGAACACCAATTGCCGCTATACTCCCGTGCCAAACACAGCTAGACAGCTATTGCAATGTTGACATCAGTCGGACGGGCTGCCGCCCGTCGCGTAGTCGCCGTCAACCGACTCGCGCTCACCACGAATGGTGTTGCCATTCCACGCGCCACCTTTGTCGCTCGCGCTATTCCTATCCGCAGCTTCAGCGTCTCACAGAGGACTCGCCAAGCGACCGCGACGGATTCTCCCGCGAAGCCCAAGAAGACCACCAAGGCCAAAAAGCCCACCAAGTCCAAGGCCACCAAGGCAAAGACTAGCAAGGCCAAGAAGACCGTGTCAAAGAAGAAGGCATCGCCCAAGAAGCCTGCGGTCAAGAAGCCCAAAAAGGAACTCACGCCGGAGGAGGCTGAGAAGAAGAAGATCAAGGAATTGAAGGCCTTGGCTCTGCTGAAGGAAGAACCAAGGCCTGGGCCGAACGCGGGACAGACCGAGTGGACCATCTTTGTCGGCGAAAACACGCCTACGCCCCTGCAAAGGTCGTTGGCCGAGCACGTCAAGGACCTGTCGGCTAGGTTCAAGGACATCTCCTCTTCGGAGAAGCAGGTAAGATCCAGCGCACCCTGGGCGAGTCAATGAGACAGAACTGACGATTCATTTGCAGCGTCTGGCTTCCCAGGCTGAGGCGAACCGTCAAGCATACCAGAACAAACGTCAGTCCTGGCTGGCCAGCCTCGACGTAGCTGATGTCTACAGCGCCAACCTAGCGCGCAGCCGCCTACGGAGGGCGCTCCCCAAGAAGCAGTTTTCAAAACTGGAAGATGATCGTCTCCCCAAGAAGCCTGTGGAGGGCATGAACCTGTACGTCCAGGAGCGCATGAGGGGCCAATCTGGAAGCACTGCTATCTTCAGTGAGGTCGTCCAGGAGTGGAAGAATATGGACGCAGCACAGCAGCAGTCGTACAAGGTTGCCAGCGAGCCCGCGCTCGCGGCTTGGCGCCAGGCGGTCGAGCAATTGTCGAACGCAGTTGCCGAGAAGAAGAAGGCCAAGAAGGACGCTGCCAAGGCAGAGGCCGCGGCTGCTAAGGCGGCGCAGATCCAGGCAAGAGAGGAGAGGAAGGCTGCTAGGGCGGCGCAGAAGGCCGCATCTGCTTAATCTGCCGAAACGGACGATGGTATCATATGCAAGCGGGCTGTGCAGATACACTGCCTGAAGGGCGGTTGTCCCGGAGCAGTGGTGTATTGTATTTCTTTTGCTGGTTCTTGTTCGCGGGTGGGATGTATGCTTCTTTTTGTGTGAATCTTGCAGCTGTGTCACGAGGTGCGGTCTCTTGCTTTCAAAGTGTAACACGAAAAAAGGGGGTTTCTCTACGTAGGCCCCTAATCTATTTCTATGTACCCCGTTCCCCAATGATGAAATCAAAGTCCCAGTGTAGACACCATGCTAACAATAATAACGCCAGACGCAATGCCCGCCTATGCCATCGATAATTATCCCTGCGTGAGGCCTTCAGTCATCGGCTGAGCCTGTATCACCACCTCCCCATCTGCGTCCTTCCATTGGGCGCCGGTGTACTTCATTGCCCTACCACTTGCCAGGTATAACAAGAGATACATATGCTTCGTGACGCATCCCCAGCAGTATAATTTGATCCACTCGTGATTCGTGTCCCGTCGACACCACACGCCCCAGCCTGCCGAGCCGCTCTTAAAATATTCCCCTATGAAATTCCACGCGTCGATACGGACATGGGGCTTCCAAGTCGTGCAATCAACGAGCCAGTGCCCTCTCTCAAAAGGCTCGAGCTCTCGTTTTGTAGTAGGTTGGTAGCGCGAGGACACATCTCGAGCCAGCTTGGCGAGTTTTGGCGGGATGCAATCGTCTGCAGTCAGTTTGTCGATGCTCACGGCTGGTGAGGGCGGATACAGCTCGAGCAAAGCGTGATGGGTTGGCACCGGCGATGAAGATTTGGTGGCACTGACCCTCTCGCTTGCGCTGCGTATTAGATTCCCCGGTTTGGGTATCGCAGTGTCGGCTGAGGACCTGAGTCGCTTTGCTGGCGGAGCAGAACCGGCTCTGGGAGCATATATAGATGGTGCATCGTTGCTCAGGTCACTCCCTGTAATATGTGTCACATCATGGTGGCGATGGTCGTCCACGCGAATTTCCTCGGCCACCCGTTTTTGCACCACACGTGCCAAAGGAGTCTCTGGAACAACCTTCGGCGCATTGCCATCAACATGCGCCGATGTACTCCTATTCGGAGTGTTGTTAGACAATGGTGCTCGTGGTGACCTCCTTGGATTGTGGCTTGCGGAAGAGGTTTGCTCAGTGTCGGTGGGCTTGCTTGAGCTGTCGGTAGGTGCCGCCGGTGTATGAAGGCTCACATAACGCTGCAGCACCTTTGTGGGCGAAGTATAGATGTTCAACCTCGGGAGAGGATACGAATCTGCGATTTGACTTTCAGGCGCGGAGAACAGCTGCTGAGACACGCTATCCTCCGGCAAGGATGATGGAATGCGTTCCTCGAATCGAGGTCCGGACAGTTGCCTGGACGTGGTCAAACGCGGCGAGCCTCGATTGTCAAAGACACCAGTGAAGCTCAGATCCTGGGATTCTTGAACAGTGAGTTCTAGATTCGCAGGCTCGACTCTGGTAGATGACGTTGGAGAGGTGATGGCCTCGGTACGCTCGTTGGTGGTGGACGATGCTACCTGCTTCTCATCGTGAAGCGGAACCGTGTCACGTCGGCCAGGCTGATAGCTGAGATAGGCATTTGCCAGTTGGCGGTAGCGCGCATCATCGGCGACTCGACTGGGAGCATCCACATGAACGAGTATCTCAACGTCCTGTTCTGTGGGGGTCATTGCGTACAGGCTCGCGCAGAGATCCGCTGAGCATGACGGCGACTCGGAACGTTGTTCTCGAGGCTAAAACAGTCGACGAGAGCATCCAGAATGACAAAGTGATATAAAACCAAAATGAAGCCAGCTCTCAAGGAACGCATGCACACACGTATGTGTTCATGGGAAGTCGCTAGGATGATGATGACCTGTGAATGTGAATCGTGAATAGAAGTTAGGAGCGTATCACACCAGCCACAGATGCAGGCAGCCGCGCGCCTGGACCCTTGTGGCTGGTGATTCCAAGAAGCAGTCGGACGTGGCTTGAGCCGGGCCCATGAAGGAGGACTGGACCCCTCCTCCCCCGTGTGGCTGCCATTTGGCGCTGGATATGCAGCAATTTTAGCCTACTGTAGGCTAACCAACTAGACTAGAAGACAAATTAATCAGGCTGTTCACCTTTCGTCCCCTTTTGCGTCTCGGTGGCCGTGTTCTTTCTCCCGCCCATACATCCATCCACTACAGTTCCTTTTCACGACCATGGCCACATCAGAGAAGAAGAAGGGCGACCTCGGGCGCGTCCTCGTCATTGGTGGTAACGGCTTCTTGGGGCACCACGTTGTCAACCAGGCGCTCGACCTCTGGAACTCGACCCACGTCTCCTCGATCGACCTGCGCTGCGAGAAGTTTCGCAGACCCGAGGTGACCTACAAGGAGTGCGACATTACCGACCGAGAGAAGCTGCTCTCCGTGATTGAGGAGCTCAAGCCGGACGTCGTGATCCACACAGCCTCTCCCGTCGCCTCGGACCACACCAATGCGAAGGAGCTTTTCCAAAAGGTCAACGTGGAGGGAACCGATTCCGTCATCGAGGCGTGCCAGAAGGCGGGCGTCAAGGCGCTGGTCAACACCAGTTCGGCAAGCGTTGTCAGCGACGATGTGAAGGATCTCCTCAACGCGGACGAGCGGTGGCCCGTCATCAGGGGGGACCAGCAGAACTCGTACTACTCCGAGACCAAGGTACGTCTCCCGGTCTAGGCGCCACATTGTCTCCCTAATGCGCTTCTCTGTACTGACTCGAGCGTCTCAACAGGCCGCCGCCGAAGAGGCCGTTCTCGCCGCCAACCGCAAAGAACCCTACAAGCTCCTCACCTGCTCCATCCGCCCGGCCGGCATCTTTGGCGAAGGCGACAGCCAGACGATCCCCGGTTTCCTCGCTGCCTACAAGAACAACAAGCACAAGGTGCAGATTGGCGACAACAAGAACCTCTTTGACTTCACCTACGTCGGCAACGTCTCGCACGGACTCCTGCTCGCCGCGCACGCCCTGCTCGTCACGGCCGGCGCCTCGACCGCGCCCCTCGACTACGAAAAGGTCGACGGCGAGGCCTTCTTCATCACAAACGACAGCCCCGTCTTCTTTTGGGACTTTGCCCGCGCCGTGTGGGCGGCCGCCGGCGACACGAGCGGCACGGCTGGTACGTGGCACCTGGGCCAGGGCGTCGGCAGCACGCTGGGCGTCTTGAGCGAGATCTTTGGCAGCATCACCGGCAGGACGCCCACCTTCAACAAGAAAAAGGTCACTATGACTTGCATGACCAGGTATTTCAACATCGCCAAGGCCAAGCGCGTGTTGCGCTACGAGCCCCAGTGGACGTTGCAGGAAGGTGTCACGAGAGGCGTGGAGTGGTTCTTGGAGCAGGAGAAGGCGGCGGCAGTCAAGGCTCAATAAGTGAGATAGACAGGAAGACAGCCAGGGCAGGGCCTATTATATTCAGCGATGGATCTCATAAGGAAATATGGTGGCCTCTCATCTTTGCGGTTTACCTTAATATAGTCATACCCCTTCACTGATTTCAGAAACGACACCATGGCATGTTGTGTGATTGTTCTTTTTTTTCATTTTGCCTATGCATGGTCTACTAGGCTTGTTCATGACCGAACTGGAATGTCCCAACCTGTCTTCACCCCCTGAACCAACATGGCAATTCGATACATCATTCGCTTGCCCGCCTCGCCTCTTTCCATGCAACCCGCCCCCTTCTCCCCTCACTTCTTCTGGTTGTGGCGGTGGCCACTTGTCTTCAGTCGTAATCAAGTCATTTCTATACACCAGGAAATGCAGTCCGTACCCCAATCCAACTTCTGCTGCTGCGAGAAATCCGTCCCCAAAATCTGCGCATCGGCACTCCCTAGTTTTGGCGCGGTATCCGTGGAAGAGCGCGCAACCAAGGGAGTGTCTTGCTCATGAAAGAATCAGGTCCGGTGATGCTGCTCCCATCAATGAGGCCCATCCTCCCCCAAGAATGAAAAAGCGTAACCGATCTGTGTCTGTTACGAAGAAAGAAAGAAAGAAGAGTAAATTCAGGCTCCGTCATGTCATGCGTAAAGATAAATGGTCGCACTGGCTCCCCCCTGTGTGGTGTTTTGCGTCTTTTGCGGTTTTAGATTTAATGAGTAAAGCCAATCGCAACGCCATGATGGATGCATATGATGAATGTGCTTTGTTGTGCTTCGTAGGGTGGTCCAATTTCTTTCCATGCGAGGTGCTCTGGCGAGCTATTGCCTGTAACTGTGGCTGGGAGCAGAACGCTCAGACTTGTGGTCTCACGAGTTGCCGCTAACACCAAGGCCATTGTTGTGACGTCCCCAGCCCGAGTTACGCCACTCTCGTCTTTGGCTGTGCTCGGCGGAGGACAGCTGGCTGTCAGAATGGTTGAACTCCTGCTTCATCGGACCCGGCTCGCTTGGCCCTCGCCAACGGCCCTTGGGCGGCGTGCCTTGCGGAGATTGGCCATATGCCATGGGTGGTTCCTGGACATGGCGCACCGAAGCTTCTCCTGACCACAGTGCCGGGTCTGTCTCAACTCGTCTTGGCGGTGGCCTGCTTGAGTTGTCGGGCCTGTTGTGGATCTCGTTGATATCTGCGATCTGGCCCTTGCGATCTTGGTACCGTCTGAGGATCTCCTTGGTGGTGATCTCGCCAGGACTGGCAAAGAGTGACTGGTCAAAGAGTAGGGTGAGAATTTCATCAGGTACCTTCACAATTAGTACACTTTTTCTTGGTCTAGCACGTTCAGGGGCGCACTCACCTGGCACATCTCCTCAATGTTGGAAATCATCGTCTCCACAGCGTCGATGACATAAATCGCCTCGCCGTCCAGCATAGATGCCTTGGCTGGGTTAGTAAGAATGTTCGGCGCAATGACAGTGGCCAAATTCCTAATGTCCATCTTCGAGCCAAGTTCCTCATCAAGCTGATGGAACGAGCCAGCCCACTTCATAAATGAGAACAGAATCTCGAGTACGTCGCGGTGGCTCTTGGGAAGTAGACAGCATGTCAGGTGGAGGCAGTGCTTGCGCTTGTCATAGTCCTCGATCTTGGCGGCACTGATCCACAGCCGGTACAACTTGTGTGTCATGAGGGGATCCGGTAGGTCGCGCAGGTATCGCTTCAACATCGCTGCGAGTTGGATCACTGGCTGATCCATAAAGTTAATGGTCTCGCAGCCCTCGTTGTTGATGCGCTCCACGAGCTCTTGCTGCTTCTTGATGTTGCCGTTCTTGCGGAAGACACCTTCGACTGAGAGATCCATCTTCCGCATCGAGGCGATAATGTCGTCCACGACGGCAGGAATCCGCAACGTACCCGGGCCAACACCGTCTGTCGACTCGGCTCCGTCACGCTCGATGATCATTTCAAGGGGCACCCCAAAGGTCCCCTTCTTCTTGACATTCTTATTCTTATCATTCTTGAACGCCTTGCCCAGATTCTTCCAGAACGTGGGCTGTTTCTTAGACTCGATGAAGCTCAGCAACTCATCCAGGGAGAATTCTTGCTCGATCATGGGCTGCATCGTAAGCACGGCCAGGTGTCGGACATTGAAGTATTCGAGTGCGGAGAGCTCAGAGAAGAATCTCCGCGTGAAGCTGTTGGGCATCGGATCAGGTACGCGAACGTCCTGATCCTTGCCAGCCGATTGCGTCCTCTGGTGACCCATGGGGGTCGTGGGGTCTGGCAGCCGCTGCACCCTGTCACGCTCGTTCTGTAGTTCTCGAGACTGCTCGACAGCCACGATTCTCGAGAGATCATCCAAGTTGATGGCGTCGTTCCCACCAAACATGCGATCGGTCGACTCCTGGTTTCGATGTGCATTTGCACTGGGGGATCCGGGACGAGGCCCGTGGCCGTCGACGTCCATGACCCGAGACGACCTTGCCTGCCTGACGGTGGTGGAGAGGTGCCTGTCGAGGCGGGTACTTCGTAACCGGCGGACATCGTTCAGGGTGTTCTCATAAGACGACTCGCGGCGATGGTCCTTGTTGTCCGTACCCGTGAACGACTTTGATCTCGAATCCGAGGCCAGCGCTGGGCGATCGCCAGGCGCTCTGTTCCCACCGCCCCCGTTCAATGCCGTCTCCTCCGACTGGGGGATAGAGCCATTGCTCCTCAGAATGTCCAGGAGCCTCGCCAGCGCCACTCGGAGCAGGAATACATATTGCGTGAGCTTGGTGACATGCTCAACTGGCTCCAGTGCGTCGCGCCTATTGTCTCCGCCACCGCAGTTCTGACAGTATAGCCTGCGATCGAATGGGCTGAACAAAGCATCACCCAGATTCTGGCCAAGCTCACGCTTGCAACGGCAACAGTCAGCACAGGCCAGATGCCACCTCAGGTCGCCGTGTCGGGCACATTCGTCCTCCACGGACCTGTTGCAGAGTGTGCAGTGGTCAGAATCGCTGGCAGACAACTTCATGCCGCCAGACGTGACCTGCAGGGCCCCCTCGTCGCTCCTGGCCGAGTCGAAATCGTTCAAGTCGTCGAGGAACTGGTATAGGCCTTCGGAGTTTTGCGACTCGCGCTCGAGCTTGAGTGCGCCTTGGAGGCAGATTCGAATAAGCAGCTTGAGATAATGCGCCAAACTTGTCACAAGAGACAAGAGCTCCTGTGTGACGCCGAGCTTGCGGGTGCCCGTGTCCTGGTTCTTGGACAGCAGTGAGAAGAAGGCGACAATCTTCTTACATAGCAGCTTCGCCTCACGTCCATACGACATGCCTGCAGGTCCAGGTTAGCACAAGCATCAATCAAATCTCACTTTACGAATCGCAGGACGTACCTGCTTCGCTGACTCTGAACATTGTGGTGTCAAGTCGGTCCGTCGAGTGGAACAAGATTTCCACATGCCAGATGAATCGCTTCGCGACCAGCACCGCGTCGATGTATGCACCGTTGCTCACGTGGAGAAGCATGTCGGAGATGCATGCTGCTGACGATTCCTCAAAGGTAGACAGCACGCTCCATATCCTAAACACCTTCTCTTCCATCCTCTCCTCCACATCCCTAATCAGCCCGCGTGTCTCTGCGTCTGCCGTGTCGGATCGAGGTGGCGCGTCGGCAGGTGACCCTAGTCGCACGTTCCAAAACTTGTGAATCATGTAGCATTCGGGATGCCAATGCTGGTCCTGGCCATTTCGGAAGATCTCCACAAACTGCTTCAGGATGGCAATCTGGCAACCGCTGCACTGCTGGGCGAATTGGGTCGAGTAGTGGTAGTGGCAGTACACGTTGCCGTCGTGCTCGTAATAGCTGTCCTCGGCGCCAAAGACCGTGTCGCAAAGCGAGCAGGTGAAATGGTCGACATGGTATTTCCGGTCCAGCGCTGTGATGTATGAGCCTCGTAGGGCACCCCCACACTGATAGCACAAGAGGTCGAGTCGTCGAAAGTAGTCTGTCTCGCACAAGGGATACTGGCCACCACCGTTCTCGTCGTCGACGGGGAAGAACTTGGATGCTACGATATCGCCACAGTCCTGGAGAAAGAAGATGTTAGCCCACACCGCCAAATACAAGGTCACAGGAATAACACGAACCCGACACTTGAAGCAGTCCAAGTGAAACGTGCCATCTAGAGCTCGGACGAACTGTCCGGTCAGCACCTCACCACACCTCTTACAGACTCTCTGCTGGCCGCTCGCATTCCTTTTGCCGCTGCGTTGTCGTGATCGGTTGCGTTCACTGCTCTTACGGGAATGGTCGCTATCCCATTGCGGCGGGGGCCCACCAGCACTCGAGCCAGAGGCCGTGGGTTTGAGGCGATGACCGCTGTCGGGTGTTCTACGACCACCGTGCTGGCGGTAGCTGTCGACGGCGGTCATGGAGTCCGGCCCGCTGTACTCCCTCGCCCAGTCGCCGGCGCGCGAGCGGTCGCTGTCGTATTCCGAGCCCATGGTCAAGGGGCTGGGTACCACGTCGTATCGATTCTTGTGTAGCCCCTCCCTGGTGGTTGCGAGGACGGGCGGGAAGACGTCCAGATTCTTAGCGCCACGGGTCGAGCAGTCGTTGGGGAGGGGTCGTCGTTGTCGAAAGCATCAGCCGGGACGTCTTCAGAGGCCAGATATCGCCCATCAATTGACAATGACGGGCGTCCAGCACAAGCGGTATGTCGTTTCAAAGGTTCGCAACTAAGGAGGGGACAGTGGTCGCGTGGCCACACGTAGGTATGTTTGGCGTCAGATACAGAGCTCCTCGAGGGCAGTTGGTTGTCGAGCGAGGGGGAGGAGAGCTTGCTGTTGTCGGTGCGGGAGGACTGTAGTGACGAGATGTGGCCGTGGTGGTGGTGGTGGTGGTGATGATGGTAGGAGTAGTAGTAGACGCGTGTGAAGCCGGCCGCGGAGACGTGTGCAGAATATCGCAGCGCCCCAATGCTAAGGTCAAGAGAATGGTGGGAAAGGGGCCGGCCTCTAAGTTAGAGGTGACTACTAGCTTTGGTGCCGTTGTTGAAGAGAGCGCTGAACGTTGCAGGCCTGAGATTGGAATACTGGGACTCAGTGGGGATGATGCGGTGGTTGCCAGGTGCTGTGCCTCCTGGATGAGGTGCCGCCCCCCCGTCCACAGGCAAAGTACCGGATACCTCTGTTCATTGGCTGAAAGCAGGGGGATCCGCTCCAGCGTCCGTCCCCTCTACCTCACCTCACCTCCCTTCGAGGTGGCCGGCAAGCGGGACTCGGGGGACATGGGCAAGTGCTAACGTATGAGAGTCAGGTTGCACACTCCAACTTTACGGGAAAGACTTAATTAATGCATGTATGAATTAATTAGTCGAGCCGCCGTGCCACCTTTCACGATGAGAACGATTCAGTTCCTGCATTCGCTCTGCCACTGTGCTGGTGTAACCGTTGGGCATTTTTATGTCTCTTTCCTGCATCGCCCAATTCCAAGGAGGAACATTTTAGGGAACCAATCAGCGACACCGGGACACAACACCCCTGATTATCGTCACGTGAGTTCTCTGGCATCTTCAGGCTCATCATCTTTCTCACGTTACGTACTGACTTGAACACGGTGCAATTAAGTAATCGACAATGCTATTTCTCGCTCAACTCAAATCACGCGATTCCAGGCTTCCTACGATGAAACAAATTTAGACTGCGCAGACCCGAAGAGCAATTTCCAGTGCCTGAGAACACAATAGACCCTAGCGCAGTCCGGCGCCCCAACTCCCGCCGTAGATCATGATCCAAGATCTAAGATCGATTACGCCTGCACTAGCTGCTTCAGCCTCTTCTCGATCTTGTCACGGCCCTCCAGCGTCGTCCAGATCTCGTGGGGCGCCTTGTCGACAATGTCCCAGTGTTTCAGGTTGTCCGTCAGCTTGGTCAGGTCGCGCTGCTTCTTCTCCCAGCGTCGACTGTCCTTGATGTGCTGGCCGCTGCTGATGACGACGAGCGGTGTGTCGCGGTGCTGGATCTGCCGGCTGCCCTCGACGTCGCGCTTGGTGAAGGAGCCCGCCACGAGGCTCTCCTGCAACTTGGCAAAGATGAACTTGCCATTCTGCTGCGCGGCGCGGCCGTAGATGCGGTCACGGCTGGTGCGGCCCTTGAAGAGCGCGCCAGGCAGGCGATCGAGACCGAGGGGCGAGATGACGCCGCGAAGCCAGAGAAGGAAGCCGCGTCCAGCGGAGCCGACCTCGGGGAGCAGGTCTTCGTGCAGCGGGTCGATCAAGACCATGCCCATGACCTCCTCGCCGTGGCGCGAGGAGAAGACACGCTGGTAGATGGAGCCGATGCCCGCGCTCGCGAGAACCCAGGGGCCCTCCTCGCCTGCCTTGGCAAGTGCCTCGCTCAGCACGTCGGTGGCAAAGCTCGCGGAAAGGGGCGAGGGTGCGGCATCCGACCAGGCGATGCCTGGGCGGTCAGCGAAGCAGTACCGACCGATGGAGCCGTTCTTGATGGCGTTGTCAGCGAACTGCCACACGTCGTGCTCGACAGATCGCTCGCCGCCCTCGAAGAGGACGGTGGGGACCTTGTGACCCTGGGCGTTGGTGCTGTTGCCATTGCAGTACACGTGAACGCGGTACTTGCCATTGTCCACCCAGTGGAGCTTGCCGGGAGGCGCCAGGCCAGCGTCGAGGGCGCGCAGGATGATTGTCAGGGTGATGAGGACAGCCGCGACGGTCATGATGGAGTAGCCGATGGTGGACAGGAGAACCTCGAGCCACTCGGTGAGGGTGCGTCGTGTCTCGGCGCGGCCAGTGAGACGCTCCTCCTCCTCGGCCTTGCCCCATTTGACGGTGCGGTCTGCAAGGAGTGTCCAGAGGCTGACGAGGACGGACCAGACAACGCTGACGGTGCCGACCCAGCCTTCCTCGTAGCGCGTCTTTTCCACGGACAGGATGAGAACCATGTCCAGGAGGAGAATAACCTGCCGTCATGAGTACATTGTGGTGGAGAGCTCGAGGGGTCTTTGACTTACCGCCATCACCACGCACAGGATGCGCACGGCCTTTGCGGGCACGCCAAAGAAGACCAACTTGAACAACAGGTTTGACATGGCCAGACTCGCGAAACTAAAGGCGTAGAATCCGCTCCCGCGCATGTTGAACCCGGGGGGCGTGGCAAACGCAGACACCAGGAGCAGCACCCACCAGGCAAAGGTGATTAAGGTGAGCACGACCGTCGCGAAGCGCAGGATGCGGATGGTCCAGAGGTTGTAGGGCGTCACGGCAGGGTCGTCGGGTCGGAGCATGCCCGCGCCGTGCGTCGAGTCGAGACGGTTGGGCAGCAGCCTGGTATGCTCGTCCACGGGGCCAGCTGGCTCGCCCGCATTGTCGCTGTGCGCGCGACGACTGCGTGACGAGGTCTCATCGTCGTCAGGCTTGTTGGAGAAGAGCGGCATCGTGAATGTATTCGGAAAGAAACCTTGGCTCCTTCAACGCCCAGCTCGACAGGCAATCTTATGAAAAAAGGAACAGGAGACACTTTAATCAACCTGCACGGCCACAAGCAGCAAAGAAAATGGACCGACGAGCTATTTGAGGCGTAGGCAGGCAGGCATGATGATGATGATGCGCGCGATGGACATCGGCTTTGCGAGGCGCAACAGAGCTAGTTCCTGATAGTACGCACCACGGACGTCATCCCTCGCGCAAACCCCACCAATCAACTCTGGCTGCTGTGGGCAATAGGGCCCCCCAATTGCACATAAGCTCCGCACCACGTCCCGATGCGCCATGGTCTTGTACCGTTTCCAAGGTTCGCTGGAGCGGGAGCCGAGAGTAGTGCCCTTTCGAAGGCTCAGATCGTAGATCATGCAGCATCTGGTGATCTGCCGGGGCGCGGGCGGTCACTGGTCGATGGGCAAGTCGAGAACTTGATGCAAAGTCCCATCTTGGACTGGTCTGCTGGGCATGGCAAGTTCCGAGCGAAAATCTCCGCCTACAGCATTCCGGTCTCGCAACAAGAATTGTCATTGATGAGTGATCACGGGACGAAGAGTCTGTATGGGGCCATGACACATGGACAATGTTCTGATTCCTGAACTGATGGACCTTTTCATCGCCAAACTCAAAAAGCCTACCCTAAAGTCATATCTCGTGACTATCATTATGTGATGCGCTGTGGAGAAGGTTGTTCAAGTGCCTTGTATTATTACAAAAGAGATAGCCGTTGAGGCTCTATTTATGCGTTCTTGATCGCATGATCCTATCCTCTTAGAGCCTTCCTCTCTAATTTCCTATATTCCGGGTCGTTTACCTCCGGTCTCACTAATTTCAGGTTCTCACCCTTCTAATATTACCTTTTCACCGCTAACGGCAGAATCTTAATCGAGCCTAGCCCCGCTGTAAGGTAGGCTCATTATCACACACCCCCTACTTATATGGTCATTTAACCACGCGAGTGTTATTATCGTTGCTAATTAGTAGGGTTCTAAGGTAGGGTCTCTGCTTCATCTAAGGCGTTAGAGCATTATTCTAATAGCTGTAGTGCTTATATAGGTTGATCTAATGTTATTGGGTCCTATAGGTAGCGTCAGTGATATGGTGATGCCCTTAATTACTATTGTTCGTGAATGGTTATTAAGGCCTTAATAGGCTATTTATAACTCGAACAATGCTTTCAGAGCATTAAGGTAAGAGGCCGAAAGTGTATAAGAGAGTCGTATTCCCCTACCTAAGGCCGGAATTTAATATTTCCTCTTTATACCACTTTCATCATACCTGCCCGTACGTTTAATACGCTTAGTTTGAGTTTTACGAGCTTAGCTAACGTATGCGAATAGTTCTTCTATCTCACGAGCGCCTCACCCAGACCCGCGCCTAAGTGGCGGAAGCTCGGCGGCTGGCCGCCGAGTAGGCCGCGAAGCAGACTAACGCTCGCGATAGCGCTAACGACGACGACGACGATGATAATAACGACGAGATTAAGACGCCTAAGAAGCGTCAAAAGGTGAGTTTTCGCGCTTTACTCGTCTTACTCAAACGCTTATAAAGCAACGCCCTCCCTTCGAAAGTGCTCTCCGGCACCTACCGTGCCTTCAATACGTTCGCGCATTCATCTCGGGCAAATCTACCCTCGAATATCACGAGCCCTCCTCCTAGCGCGCCAAGCGCTATTAACGCTACGCCGCAGGCCATGCCTACACTCCTTTATAAGTCTAGCAATACTCTATATTTGAAATTCGAGCTTTACTAACCACAGACTATAGACCGTCCGTTTTTCTACCATAGATAAAGTAGCATACCTCCGGCTCCTCCCCCGCCGTAAGCGTGAACTTTAGTCCTAGCGTTTGTTTGCTCGTTCTTGGCTAATAGAGCTTTGTGCAGCACCTTGCCAACTACCGAAAGGCGTTGCGCGCCCTTAACGAAATATACAAGGGT